ACTTTGGCAGGTCTGAATACGTCAGTGCATACTACACCGTGGACACATGAACACATGGACACAGCGACACAGAGACATACAGACATAATGGACACAGCGACACAGAGACATACAGACATAAAGACATATAGACACAGTGTCATAGAGACACAGAGACACAGAAACGATAAGTATACTGAGTTCATAGGGGTGAGAGGGAATACAGACAGCCCTCGATCTTATGGTTGATTCATACGGTGGTAAATATAATACAAACCTGGCAATATGGCGTAAATACTAAATACACGCCTGCCCACACACAAGCTCTCTAAGCTGCAAAGTCACTCTGGCACAGATCCCCTGATCTCTGTAATTCTGTAATTTATTTATTTCTGGATTCCCCGGAGACTGGAAGGCCTGTTGAGGGCCTAGGGCGTCTCCGTATCAGAATAAAAATGGACACAAAGAACATCTTGCATGAGAAAAAGTGTTGAATTATTCGGGAGTTGACTCGGATGGAGAGCCAATTAATTTATAGAATTTATAGAAGAAGAAAAAAAGGACCAAGGAACTACAAGTTACGCTACAATGTCCACCAACATGAGCTGATAGTTTAGTAACCGGTGGTGTTAGTGGACATTATAGCGTAACTTGTAGTTCCTTGGTTCTTTTTTTTCTTCTTCTTCTATTCGGGGGTTGCTGTTGTTATATCCGAGGTCGTTATTCACGGGGTTGACTCACTGTGTAGGGTTTACCGGGTGTTAGCGGCCGTCGTGAGTTCCCTTCGGGAACGGACACGATAATTTACTTTTTTTTGACTCACTGTAAGCGAAGATGTACCACCAGTTCGCCAGGTGTACCTTTACCACCGTATGAATAAACTATAAACACACAGCTGCAGGCGAGACTTCAAATTCATCCTCCCAGTGAATGAAACTCAGCTCTATTAGTAAAATCATCAGGTCACACAAAACATTGCGGATGAAGTAACATATTTCACATTCCTCCACATAAAGATGACGATGAGTTCATGAATTTTTGCATGCTGATCTCAGCAAGTCGATGACTGTGGTCCTTAGTATCTTCTGAAGGAGCAATCCCCTCCCCCACCCCCCTCCCCAGCACCAGCAGCACAGAAAACCTTAACATCACCACCACTAACCCTTACCTTGAAACAAGTCTCAGCAAAGAATGACCGCAAGTCCATACCCGTCACCTCCTCCAGGAACCGTCGGAGAGGGAGCATGTGAGAGACGGGTGCATCCCTGGATGCAAAAAAACATTCACCCAAATACATCCACAAGAGTGCAAGGCTGAAAACAACCGACATATCATGGGCGTCGGAAGGTATTTAACATTGGTGCGGCCATTTGGTGCGGCCATGAAGAAGTGGGGACCGGGCCCACCCCGGGCAAGAAAATCGGCCCAAATAGCCACATATTGTAAAAAAAATTCACGGCTCGCATCAGACTCGGCTAGAGGCTGAGTTTTTCCGCATCCGTAGGAACACCACCACCCTTGAAGGATCAAGGCGCAGATGCAGCTCCTAAAGCGGTGGGAGGTGAGTAGACTAGCTCACCAGCAAGTGGTTAAAGACTGAATATCTCATTCATTGCATCCATGTTTTCCTCGCTGCTTGGAAGAGGAAGGATTTTTCCAGCGACCCACATATTGTACTGCTTCAGAAATCACAAGACTAAATAATCTTTGGCCACACCTGTCGCATGGGCTCGGGTGCCCCCTCCTCCCCCCCCCCCCCCCCCCTCCCCGGCGTATTGCAGAGTGTATGTGCATTGTGTGCATACACAGGGGCCGCACGACATTCGGCGTACGGCGACCAGTTCATGGGATCCAGATGTATTCTGTCGGGGTGTTTTTGCTCACAAACCAGTGCAAGCCTACTGGGACTAATACTAGGTGGATAGAGTATAAATAGCCAGGAGCTACTTTAACCAAACAACTAGCTATCTCCATGGTTACTGTAATGTCAGATTGAGGATAGGTAGCGCAATACACAATTTTTGCTAACAGACTTCCTTCTCAGCTACCATAGCCAAAACAAAACACGGAGAAAACAGAGCGATGACGCGACAACCTAGGAGAGGGAGAGACAAGAGACTAGTAGGGGCTCGCTGATAGTCCGTGTGGTGATGCAAGACTAACAGGTAGTCTGCGTGGTGATGCAAGCCTCGGACTAACATTCCCTGCATACCGTATTTTCCAGGGTATCAGCCGCACCGGAGTATAACCCGCAGCCAGATTTTTTGGCACGAAATACAGACATCTACGCTATTTATCCCCGTTAATCGAACCATCATAGTCAAATACTGTAAAAGCCATAATTATATATATAACGAAGTGCTAACTCTAACGAGTTAACGAGGAGAAATCTGTCGTTAAAATAGAAATCGTTTTACAGAAATCGATACATATACATATACTGTCCTATTGAGCTTTGAGAATGAGTGAGAATCGTTACCTTTGGTACACGTAAACTAGTCAACTTTGGGAAATCGTTATATATGTGCCTCGTTAGAACAATGGCTTTTACAGTAGTTGTCATAATACTAAGACCGTACACTACTTACTATTCGTAATTCCCGCTCCTTCACCATAGCAACAAGAGCCACTCACGTATAGGTAGAACAGCGCATGCTCCACATATAAGCCGCCCTGACTTTTCTTTAGCTGAACGTGTAATGTTTAAAGTGCGGCTTATAGGGTACCTCACTTTAAACTCTCCAACTACGGTCTCTTCGCTGCATACGTTCACTTTCAAAAAAATTATATTAGATATAAATTGAATGCACCAAATTTTCGGGCATGGCCCATCTTCAGGGTGAAAAACCATTCAACGTATACCCCGGAAAATATTGTAAGTATGTAAACATAGGATAACGCAGGACAACGAGAGAGGAGAACATACAATCATATGTCAATACCGTACCATGAGGTGAGGAAGTCCTCCACGAGATGAAGCAGGTGGTCGGGCAATGGCAGCTGTGTTGGCTTGACCATTCCTGTACATGCATGTACACATCACAGCGCACAGTTAATACACTACTATGTGTGTCACAAGGTATCAATGCACACACATCACTTGATTCTTTTTATCCGTGAACAAACAGCATGTGCGTGCACAGACATCGCTCAAAACTCGCATATCGCATCCGTGAAAAAACTTGTATCCTCGAGCACACAGCATGCGTGCACAGACATCGCTCAAAACTCACGCTTCGGTGGCCGCTTGTAGTAGTAGAAAACTGGGTGCAGGAAGTTACTTTCATCAGCCTCCGATGGCTCTCCGGTAGCTCTTGTCAAACTGAACACATCCTTTCTGCAAGGGAGAGCATAAACAACACAAGGCATCAGTGGAATGGAATAGAAGAAACGTGGGTTGGTTTAATTTAGGGGGAGGGGGGGGGGGCCAGGGTGTGTGTGGAGGGGTCCTTATACACACGTAAAGCACACTACCCGGGCTGCTGACTTCATTGTCGCCGTCCTTACGGACTTAGGGAAATGGAATAGAAGAAACGTGGGTTGGTTGGGTTGGGGGAGGGGGACCGGGAGGGGAGGGGGGGGGGGGGGTGAGGGGACCAGAGGGATCGGCGGGACCGGGGGTCCTTATACACATGTAATGCACGCTACTCGGGCCGCTGACTTCACTGTCGCCGGCCTTACGGACCTCTCTTGTTGCCATTCACTCGTAACTCGTGCTGTTGTGTCTTGCATTACGCGTGTAATTTTTAAAATGTAGATAAATGCAGTGTACAGTTTAACCGCTCACATCCGCTTTCCACAAAAATATCCAGACTGGCGAGGAACCGGAAAACCGAACACCGGTTTTGTTGGATGTACCACGTATTCTGTAAATCTGTGACCAGCTATTTTCTTCCGGATGGCGAGGGATCCGGGTAAAAGAGGACCGGATAGAGCGAGGTCTGACTGTACTGCGCTTACCCGGGTCCTGAGAAGTTCTTGCCATACTCCAAGTTGATAACTATGATCTCCTTGGCTTTGTGACCGGTGCACTCTGTATAAAGAGAGATGTACATAGAGAGATGTGGACAGAGAGATGTACATAGAGAGATGTGCATAGAGAGATGTGCATAGAGAGATGTGGACAGAGAGATGTAGACAGAGAGATGTAGACAGAGAGATGTGGATAGAGAGATGTGGACAGAGATATGTACACAGAGAGATGTGCATAGAGAGAGGTGGACAGAGTGCATAGAGAGATGTGCATAGAGAGATGTACACAGAGAGATGTACACAGATAGATGTACACAGAGAGATGTACACAGAGAGATGTACACAGAGAGATGTACACAGAGAGATGTACATAGAGAGATGTGCATAGAGAGATGTGCATAGAGAGATGTGGACAGAGAGATGTAGACAGAGAGATGTGGATAGAGAGATGTGCATAGAGAGATGTGCACAAAGAGATGTGAACAGAGAGATGTACACAGAGAGATGTGCATAGAAAGACTTGTACTGAGAGATGTGGACAGGAACAACATCAACAATGCTAATACAGTGGAACCTGTCTAAGAGGACCCCTCAAGGGACCTTCAAAATGCGGTCTCTGCTACCAGGTGGTCTCCTTATCCAGGGTCATTTGACTGCAACTAGCATCTTTTGGTGCTGGTTTCAGTGGTCTTCTAGGACAGGTGGTCGCCTTATCCGAGTGGTCGCCTTGACAGGTTTTACTGTAGTAAACACGGACTCACTACACAAACTCGCTACACAAGCTCGCTACACAAGCTCGCTACACAAGCTCGCTACACAAGCTCGCTGCACAAGCTCGCTGCACAAGCTCGCTGCACAAGCTCGCTGCACAAGCTCGCTGCACAAGCTCGCTGCACAAGCTCGCTGCACAAGCTCGCTGCACAAGCTCGCTGCACAAGCTCGCTGCACAAGCTCGCTGCACAAGCTCGCTGCACAAGCTCGCTGCACAAGCTCGCTGCACAAGCTCGCTGCACAAGCTCGCTGCACAAGCTCGCTGCACAAGCTCGCTGCACAAGCTCGCTGCACAAGCTCGCTGCACAAGCTCGCTGCACAAGCTCGCTGCACAAGCTCGCTGCACAAGCTCGCTGCACAAGCTCGCTGCACAAGCTCGCTGCACAAGCTCGCTGCACAAGCTCGCTGCACAAGCTCGCTGCACAAGCTCGCTGCACAAGCTCGCTGCACAAGCTCGCTGCACAAGCTCGCTGCACAAGCTCGCTGCACAAGCTCGCTGCACAAGCTCGCTGCACAAGCTCGCTGCACAAGCTCGCTGCACAAGCTCGCTGCACAAGCTCGCTGCACAAGCTCGCTGCACAAGCTCGCTGCACAAGCTCGCTGCACAAGCTCGCTGCACAAGCTCGCTGCACAAGCTCGCTGCACAAGCTCGCTGCACAAGCTCGCTGCACAAGCTCGCTGCACAAGCTCGCTGCACAAGCTCGCTGCACAAGCTCGCTGCACAAGCTCGCTGCACAAGCTCGCTGCACAAGCTCGCTGCACAAGCTCGCTGCACAAGCTCGCTGCACAAGCTCGCTGCACAAGCTCGCTGCACAAGCTCGCTGCACAAGCTCGCTGCACAAGCTCGCTGCACAAGCTCGCTGCACAAGCTCGCTGCACAAGCTCGCTGCACAAGCTCGCTGCACAAGCTCGCTGCACAAGCTCGCTGCACAAGCTCGCTGCACAAGCTCGCTGCACAAGCTCGCTACACAAGCTCGCTACACAAGCTCGCTACACAAGCTCGCTACACAAGCTCGCTACACAAGCTCGCTACACAAGCTCGCTACACAAGCTCGCTACACAAGCTCGCTACACAAGCTCGCTACACAAGCTCGCTACACAAGCTCGCTACACAAGCTCGCTACACAAGCTCGCTACACAAGCTCGCTACACAAGCTCGCTACACAAGCTCGCTACACAAGCTCGCTACACAAGCTCGCTACACAAGCTCGCTACACAAGCTCGCTACACAAGCTCGCTACACAAGCTCGCTACACAAGCTCGCTACACAAGCTCGCTACACAAGCTCGCTACACAAGCTCGCTACACAAGCTCGCTACACAAGCTCGCTACACAAGCTCGCTACACAAGCTCGCTACACAAGCTCGCTACACAAGCTCGCTACACAAGCTCGCTACACAAACTCGCTACACAAACTCGCTACACAAACTCGCTACACAAACTCGCTACACAAACTCGCTACACAAACTCGCTACACAAACTCGCTACACAAACTCGCTACACAAACTCGCTACACAAACTCGCTACACAAACTCGCTACACAAACTCGCTACACAAACTCGCTACACAAACTCGCTACACAAACTCGCTACACAAACTCGCTACACAAACTCGCTACACAAACTCGCTACACAAACTCGCTACACAAACTCACTACACAAACTCACTACACAAACTCACTACACAAACTCACTACACAAACTCACTACACAAACTCACTACACAAACTCACTACACAAACTCACTACACAAACTCACTACACAAACTCACTACACAAACTCACTACACAAACTCACTACACAAACTCACTACACAAACTCACTACACAAACTCACCACACAAACTCACCACACAAACTCACCACACAAACTCACCACACAAACTCACCACACAAACTCACCACACAAACTCACCACACAAACTCACCACACAAACTCACCACACAAACTCACCACACAAACTCACCACACAAACTCACCACACAAACTCACCACACAAACTCACCACACAAACTCACCACACAAACTCACCACACAAACTCACCACACAAACTCACCACACAAACTCACCACACAAACTCACCACACAAACTCACCACACAAACTCACCACACAAACTCACCACACAAACTCACCACACAAACTCACCACACAAACTCACCACACAAACTCACCACACAAACTCACCACACAAACTCACCACACAAACTCACCACACAAACTCACCACACAAACTCACCACACAAACTCACTACACAAACTCACTACACAAACTCACTACACAAACTCACTACACAAACTCACTACACAAACTCACTACACAAACTCACTACACAAACTCACTACACAAACTCACTACACAAACTCACTACACAAACTCACTACACAAACTCACTACACAAACTCACTACACAAACTCACTACACAAACTCACTGTACAGAACTATCACATGTCACATGTTGCACGTTGATACTATTAGTGTATTGTAGTTACGATTTGTGTACAGAACTGTCACATGCTGCAAGGAGGGAGTGTGCGAGATTTACGAGTGTGATTTTGAGTGTGACTGGACAGGACACTGCGCTGAAATAGAATGAGTGTTGTTGGGATAACATCATTTACGAGTGTGTTGTTACAATACAGTGTTTGTTGTGCGTGTTTGTCGGATACGCCGATATAATCACTTGCATAGATAATACTTACGTTGTTGCTTGCATTCTCGCTCTCCACAGCAACTCCATTGCGTGCTGCGTTCTATGTATTCCTATTCTGTACACTGACTCTCTCTGACAGGATTTGCTGTCACCCTGTCTCTGGGCGCAAGCACCCTCTGACAGACCAAACTGATTTGCTTCATCTCCACAATATTTATCTCCTTTCGATTTGAATTTCTGTTTGTTCTGCACTCTGATTTTTCCTTGTTGCACCTGCGCTTTTGTACGCGGAACTTTGCTGTCGCCATCGCGTCGCCATTATTTATATCCATGGTTACGTGGTGGTATGACTCATCGATGCATCATGCGCGCATGATCATTCTTCTTTTCTACTCGTACACTTCGATATGCATGCACGCACACTGATGTACACCTAGACTACACGTAAGCCAATGCACGCACGCGAGCACGTTTCGCTGAGGACAGCGATTTGAGAGAGAGAGTTTGTCAAGTTTGAGAGAATGGTGGTTAGCTTCTTGCCCAGATTAGTGACAGTTGTGGTTGTTGTTTGCCTTTGCGTTTTCCTGGTTTCATTCTCTGCATTTTTAGTTGTGTTCCATGTCTGCATGTTGTTTTCCGAGTGTCAGTTCACTACACCAGAGTTCGAACAATTAGAATTTAATACAGTCTTCACCGAAAGGGAAAGAGTCCTAAACAACTGGTCCTTCGAGCCGGATCTCGGACTGAGCTTGTTCTGTAGAGTGTAGTAGTATGTAGACATTGTAGTAAAGTTATAGTGCTGTGGAACGTAAAGTTAGCATCATGTCCTCGGCGTCAGCTCCGCGTACGAGCCAACGCACAACCAAGGGTGTGCCACCATTGAGATATGGACACGAGGAGCCCGAACTCGCCGTGGCTGCGGATAAAAGGAGCTCGGTGTCCGCTGTCCCGTCCAGGGCCAGTAGCGGTTCCCAGCTCAAGGTCGAACTGAAAGCTACAGAGCTGGAAGCGGCGGAGGAGCTCGCCACCATGGAGTTAGATGTAAAGAAAAGGGAGATTGAACTCCGCAAGGACATTTGGGCCAAAAAGTTGGCGTTAGAGGAAGCAATAAAAACGGAGCAGCTGTCCCAGAGGAGTTCCCCGAGGCGGCGAGGGCATGGCTTGACTGCGGAGGCACTTGCCAAGTTTGACGATGCCTTGCAAAGATGTGGCAACACTCGTGTCGTCCCGGCCGCAAAGTGCGTATCATTGAGTCGTGTGGACCAGGGTCGTGTTGTCAAGCCACCAGTGCAAGCTGGTGCCGAAACCCGGGGATATGATAGCCTGACTGAACATACAGCAGCAGTGGATGGCGCGCGGAACATGGACTGGAGAAAGTTAGCCGCAAGGCAGTCAGCTGGCACGTCTGAGGCCTCCGACGATTCCGCAGTGTCATTCAGTCAGGCTCAGCAGCCAAGGCCAATCTGGCACTCAGCTGTGCGGCATCCAGGAGCTGCAGTGCAGCACACAATGGCAGTGCAGCACGGAAAGCGAGCCGTGCACCATCACCACGCTTCAGTGCACCAACCAGTAGCAGCTGCCTCGTACCTAGTGCGGCAGCAACCAGTGCTCAATCAGCTACCTGTAACCGTTGCGGGTGCACTGAGCATGCCTCAGCCACGACCCACACAGCCGCCACCACAACAGTCACAACCGCAGCAGACGTACAGACCACAGCCTCGTCGAATCGTCGAACATCAGACGCTCCCACCCGACATGGCCCGCGTGCAGAAATGGGCAGACGGCATACCAGACGGTTGGCGCCAGGGCATTCGCCAGGCACAAATAAAACCGTTGGAGCTGCCAAAGTTTAATGGGGAAGAGAGCAGCTACATGAAGTGGCAGCAGCGTTTTTTGCGTCTGGTGGACGAGGACCCATATGTGTCCGACCACTACAAGATGGCTCGTCTTCGCGAAGCAGTGGCCGGTGGAGCAGCAGAAGATCTGATAGCGGACTTGCTGGACGGCGAGGGTGCGTACCAGTCCGCAATGGCTGAGCTGGATGCGTGGTATGGTGGCAGCCAGCGCGAGCTCGAGCGCCAGCAGAAAGAGCTGTATGCACTGCCACGCATTCAGCACGACAAAGACACCACCGCTCTGCAGACGCTCGCCATCAAGCTCCGCAACGTGCTGCTAAACATGCAGGCGGGCCACATCATGCCGGGAAGAGAGATGTACGTAACGGTTACACAGAAACTGCCCCGCAACCTTCTGCTGCGCTACATTGAGCGTTATGACGACGCCACTGGTAACGTGGATGACCTGTCCAGATGGCTGCTGGATAGAGTGCATCGTATGCGCCAGGTCGATGCTCGCATTGGGGACGTCTTGACGGTCAAAAAGCCGGAGAAAGCGGCTACAGGGCGTACGCAAGGCCACCACACCATGGCCACCGTTCCAGCAGCTAGCAGCAGAACAACGTCGGCCTCGGCACCAGAGCCACGAACAACGGTGTGCCCGGTGTGCCAGGGGCATCATGCCCTTGCTGTATGTGCTGAGCTGCGCAAGATGTCGGTGCGCGAGAGGTGGGGAGCGGTCAAGCCCCTGTACAGCGTTTGTACGAATTGCCTACAGACAGGGCATCGTTCAAATGACTGCTCTGCTAAGCCATGTGATGCGTGTGGACGAAAACATAACAGTTTGTTACATGTTTGGAAATCGGACAAGCCACACATTAATATCTCTACTACTGACGCCAAGGCCAGACACACAACGGTCAGCAGTTCGACACAGGCAGCCAGGCAGCACACAGCATCGCCAACAGCCAGCGTGCCGTCAGCAGGTGCGGCACTGCACATCCTGCAAGAGCCAGCTGCGACTCTACGCGCGTCCGGTGGAATGGCGTTCATGACCGTGTCTGCCACACTAGTCAACAAGGACCGCCAGATGCAGGTGACCGCCCTGCTCGACTCAGCGTCATCAACGAGTTACGTCACCGAGTCTGTGGCCCAGGAGCTTGGACTTACGGGTCCTCAAGAGTCATTGCAGACCACAGTACTCGGAGGGAAGACAGTTAGTGGTACCCGACCGCACATCAATGTCGGTGTCCAGACTCAAGACGGCAGACTGGCCCAGTTTAGTGCGTGGGTGCTGCCAGCTGTAACGCCAATGAGTACGGTGGACTGGGCCCAGAACAGCGACACGTGGGCAGGAAACATCGAATTCCAGCCATTGCCGTCTCCCACAGTGGGCATTCTGATCGGTCTGAATGCAGCAGAGCTGCACACGTCACTGGAGGAGCGCAGCGGCCACTCAGAGAGCGGACTGATTGCCCGGCGCACACCACTCGGTTGGGTGTGTTTCGGCCCCTTGGGGAACAACAGTACTGCACTGCAACATACCTGCATCGCCCTGTGCACTGAGGCTGGCGTACAAGAAGAAAGTAAGCTCGATGAGATCGTTCACAAGTTCTGGGAGACAGAAAAGGTGGGCACGGAAGCGGCAGCATCCAATGTCGAGACGCCATCGCCAGCTGATCGCCAGGCCGAGTTACACACCAACAACACTGTGCGGTATGAAGACGGGCGCTACACGATGTCCATTCCATGGGCGAGCAGCCAGTCACAGCCTCAGCTGACCTCCAACCGCATCATGGCCGAGCAGCGGTTGAGGTCCTTGGAGAAAGCACTGGACAAGCGACCAGCAGTGAAGAAGCAGTATCACGAGGTCATGAACAGTCATATTGAGAAAGGCTACGTCAGCATGGTACCTACTGAGCAAGCTGACGGAGAGGACCAATGGTATCTGCCGCACTTTCCGGTGGTACGCGACGATAAGAGTACCACGAAAGTCAGAATTGTCTTTGACGCAGCGGCAGAGTGCAACGGTGTCTCGATTAACGACGAGATGTTGACCGGTCCAGCGCTGCAAAACGACGTATCCTCTGTGCTGCTGCGCTTTTGTATGGAGCCAGTTGCTCTGGTAGCGGACATCGCTGAAATGTTCCCGCAAGTCGTTCTAGCAGAAAGTGACAGGAAATACCATCGTTTCCTGTGGAGGGTGGATGGAGAAGTCTGTGTGTTTGAGTGGAACCGGCTAGTGTTCGGCATAAAGGCATCCCCCTACCTGGCAGGCAAGGCGGTCAAGAAGACCCTGGAACACTTTGGTGATGGGTACTCTGCAGCAGCGGTGGAAGCCATCGACAAGTCCACGTATGTGGACGACCTGCTGAGCTCGGCTGCATCCGACGAAGCTGCGTGCAACACCCAGCAGCAAACGCAGTGTCTCCTAGCGCAGGGTGGGTTCCACTTGCGGAAGTGGTTATCGAACAGTGCAGCCGTCATGGAGTCCATCCCAGAGGCCGACCGTGCCAAGGAAGCGGTGTTAAACTTGGGTGAGCGAGATGCTCACAGCTGCCTACCAACAGTGAAGACACTCGGCGTCAGCTGGCATTCACAGTCCGACACGTTCACCTTCCGCTACCAGCAGACCAAGCAGAGCCCAACGAAGCGTTCAGTGCTGAGCGGGCTGTCGACTGTGTTCGACCCGAGAGGCCAGATCGCGCCATTCACTATCCGGGCACGCATCCTTTTCCAGGACTTGTGTCTACTTGGTGTTGGCTGGGATGAGCGACTCCCTAGCGCAGAGACGAAGAAATGGCAAGCCTGGTTCGGTGAGCTGCCAGGTCTCTCAGGAGTTCAGGCTCCACGCAGCTTCAAGGCACCAGGTGCACCAGAGAGCCAGCTGTCGGTTCACACCTTTGTTGACGCATCTGATCGAGCTATTGCCGCGTCAGCATACGTGCGTGCAGTGGACACTACCGGCAACGTCAGAGTAACTCTGGCAATGGCCAAGGCAAAGCCAGCTCCAATCCGACGACAGAGCATCCCTCAACTTGAGCTACGTGGTGCGGTACTCGGTATCCGCGTGAGCCAGCACCTGGAGCAAGCCATCGGGATACCTATTAGCCAGCACACATTCTGGACAGACTCAATGAATGTGCTTGGCTGGATCCGCAACCACAGCAGGCGGTACAAGGTTGACATCGGCAACAGAGTATCACTCATCCAGGAAGTGACCAGCGTCAAGCAGTGGCACCACATCAGCGGCAAGAATAACCCAGCTGACAAAGCGACGCGTGGCCTACTAGCAGAGGACTTGGCCAACGACACGTTGTGGTGGAACGGTCCTGCCTTCCTCTCCAGCGCACCAGAGGATGACTGGCCCAAGCTTCCAGACTCTGTTCCGACAGCCGAATTACCTGGCCAGTTGAAGCGGATGATTGAGGCCACACTAGTCACGGTACCAGCAGAGGACGAGCAGCAAACTAGCCGACTCAACCCGGTCAACTTTAGCAGCTGGCTACGACTTGTGCGGGTCACCGCATGGTGCAAACGTTTTGCGGACAACTGCCGACACCGCCAGGCTCAGCCAGCAGACCCTACAGCGCAGCAGTCATCCAGCGCTACATCCAGCATCAGTGTCGCACGCGATGGCAGCCGTCCGACTCGCAAGGCCTTGAAGCGAAGGCACGCCCTGCCAGCAGTAGAAGTGCCCGAGCTCTCAGTGAGCGAAGTTCGCAATGCTGAATTCCACTGGTTTGCCAACGCTCAGCAGGACTCTTACAGTGACGTCATCAAGGCCCAGCGCAGCGGTCAACCATTGCCCAAGGCGCATGCACTTAGCCATCTGATGCCAGAGTGGGATGGAGACGCGAAGCCAGGGCTTCTCCGCATGAACGGGCGCCTGAAAACCGCTCATCATTTGCCCAGTGGAGCCCGGCGACCCATCATCCTGCCAGGCAAGCACCCTGTTACGGCTCTACGTATTGCGCATGAGGATGTGAAGTGCAAGCATGTGGCTGGAAAGAACCACTTACTAGCAAACCTCAACGGCGAGTTCTGGGTGGTTGGTGGTCTCGGCGCTGTCAAGGCTCACCGACGTTCCTGCCCTGGCTGCAAGTTACAGTGGGCCAAGCCAGCTGAGCAGTTGATGGCGCCGTTGCCAAGCTTCAGAACAGCAGAACCTGTACGTGCGTTTCACCGAGCGGGCGTGGATTTCGCAGGGCCATTCCTGACGAAGCAAGGTCGTGGCAGGGTCAAGACCAAGCGCTATCTGTGCGTCTTCACCTGCCTCCAGTCAAGAGCAGTGCACCTGGAGATGGCATACTCCCTCGACACTGATGGTTTCCTGCTGGCTCTGAGTAGATTTGTGAAGCGACGCGGTCGACCGGCTCTGATTGTGTCGGACAACGGCACAAATTTCGTAGCTGCGGAAAAGGAGTTGCGGGATGCAGTCGAGCAGCTGAATTCCGGCAGAGTGAGCGCTGCACTCGCATCGGAGCACATCGAGTGGCGTTTCAACCCCCCACAGGCGCCCCATCATGGGGGCGTGTTTGAGTCGATGGTGAAGTGCGCCAAGCGTGCGTTGCGTGGAATCCTGGAGCACGGAGACTGCACAGACGAGGAGCTGAGTACGGCGTTCATAGTTGTGGAAGCATTCCTCAACACCAGGCCGCTCACGACGATAAGCTCAGATCCGAGTGACCTCACCCCACTCACGCCACAGCATTTCCTCACCAGCCATGCCGACCTGTCGCTGGCACTTGAGGAACTGGCTGATCAAGCTGATCGCGTGAATCCAAGACATCGCTGGAAAGCAGTTCAGCGACTGAGTAAGGACGTCTGGGACAGGTGGCTGAAGGAGCTCGTCCCAGCGCTCAACCTGCGTCAACGATGGCGCAATCTGCACCGCAATGTACGTGTTGGTGAAGTAGTGCTATTCTTGGAACCTGGCACTCCAAGAGGGAAGTGGCCGCTCGCAAGAATACTGCAAGTGTACCCAGGCAAAGATGGCAACGTACGGGTGGTCGACATTCTCGTCCGCGGCAAGACCTACCGCCGACCAATCAATGTGCTCGTCCCACTGGAGGTGGATTCTGAGTAAGCCACCAGTACTGTGCTCGTTCTGCAAGAGGTGGATTCTGAGTATGCTGTGTTTGTATGAGCTCGTTCCGCAAGAGGTGGATTCTGAGTATGCTGTGTTAGTGTTAGTATTGTGCTCGTTCTGCAAGACGTGGATTCTGAGTATGCTGTGTTCGTATGAGCTCGTTCCGCAAGAGGTGGATTCTGAGTAAGTTATGTTATCTCTATTGCCTCACTCAATCACTGTTCGTGAGGGAGGGTGGTGATGTACAGAACTATCACATGTCACATGTTGCACGTTGATACTATTAGTGTATTGTAGTTACGATTTGTGTACAGAACTGTCACATGCTGCAAGGAGGGAGTGTGCGAGATTTACGAGTGTGATTTTGAGTGTGACTGGACAGGACACTGCGCTGAAATAGAATGAGTGTTGTTGGGATAACATCATTTACGAGTGTGTTGTTACAATACAGTGTTTGTTGTGCGTGTTTGTCGGATACGCCGATATAATCACTTGCATAGATAATACTTACGTTGTTGCTTGCATTCTCGCTCTCCACAGCAACTCCATTGCGTGCTGCGTTCTATGTATTCCTATTCTGTACACTGACTCTCTCTGACAGGATTTGCTGTCACCCTGTCTCTGGGCGCAAGCACCCTCTGACAGACCAAACTGATTTGCTTCATCTCCACAATATTTATCTCCTTTCGATTTGAATTTCTGTTTGTTCTGCACTCTGATTTTTCCTTGTTGCACCTGCGCTTTTGTACGCGGAACTTTGCTGTCGCCATCGCGTCGCCATTATTTATATCCATGGTTACGTGGTGGTATGACTCATCGATGCATCATGCGCGCATGATCATTCTTCTTTTCTACTCGTACACTTCGATATGCATGCACGCACACTGATGTACACCTAGACTACACGTAAGCCAATGCACGCACGCGAGCACGTTTCGCTGAGGACAGCGATTTGAGAGAGAGAGTTTGTCAAGTTTGAGAGAATGGTGGTTAGCTTCTTGCCCAGATTAGTGACAGTTGTGGTTGTTGTTTGCCTTTGCGTTTTCCTGGTTTCATTCTCTGCATTTTTAGTTGTGTTCCATGTCTGCATGTTGTTTTCCGAGTGTCAGTTCACTACACCAGAGTTCGAACAATTAGAATTTAATACAGTCTTCACCGAAAGGGAAAGAGTCCTAAACACTCACTACACAGACTCACTACACAAACTCACTACACAAACTCACTACACAAACTCACTACACAAACTCACCACACAAACTCACTACACAAACTCACTACACAAACTCACTACACAAACTCACTACACAAACTCACTACACAAACTCACTACACAAACTCACTACACATACTCACTACACAAACTCACTACACAAACTCACTACACAAACTCACTACACAAACTCACTACACAAACTCACTACACAAACTCACTACACATACTCACTACACAAACTCACTACACAAACTCACTACACAAACTCACTACACAAACTCACTACACAAACTCACTACACATACTCACTACACAAACTCACTACACAAACTCACTACAAGACGAAATACATGTACACATGTACATATGCAGTAAAATCTGCCAAGAAGACCACTTGCATTAGGTGACCACCTGTCCCAGGGGACCACTGCAACCACAACCCTGTGTTGCTATTCCCAGTAACATGACCCTGGATAAGGAGACCACCTGTACACAGCGACCACATCTCATGACCCTGGATAAGGAGACCACCTGTACACAGCGACCACATCTCATGACCCTGGATAAGGAGACCACCTGTACACAGCGACCACATCTCATGACCCTGGATAAGGAGACCACCTGTACACAGCGACCACATCTCTAAGGTCCCATCAGCGGTCGCCTTGGACAGGTTTCCATGTAGTCAAAATAGGCAAAAAGCCGGTGGTAGTGGTACAAGGTCATCACACCACAGATGTCCTCTGGTGCATCGTCAAGACAACACAGCTGTGCGAGCTACGCCCCCAGACCTACTGAGTGCGTTTGATTACGCACTTGAATCGATTCATGAATCCATTCGCATGCATTCAAGTCGTTCGATTTCATGTCATGGGCCCTGGAATCGATTCGGAACCCATTCACCCCATTCACATGGGGGTGATGTGAATAGCGTGAATCGATTCGCGGGCATAATCGAACGCACTCACAGACCGGCCACCTGTAGTACTGTAGTAGTGAACTGGTGAACTACAGGATGGTTTGCAACTTACTCTTGAATGCTGGTATGCAGTCAATGGGCACTTCTTCCAGATACCGTACTGTGTCGCCATCTGAATGGAGCCATGTAGAAAACATACACACACAGAACACACATACATACACATACACACATGCACACACACACACACACACACACACACACACACACACACACACACACACACACACACACACACACACACACACACACACACACACACACACACACACACACCATGCACCATGCAGATCCATCGCAAGAGAGAAGCATGCAAATCGGAAATTTCACTTGCCCCACGACAACACCCATTGACATCTCTTACAGGAATGACATGACGTGTGCCAGGCAACTGCCCATTCCGTACAACTGATGAAGGTTGTGTGAAAAGACCAAGATACATTGACTTTATAATGTTGTACTAATCTTGTACACAGCACACAGCTTTAATACATGATACATGCATGTCCAACCTGACTCAAGGGCTTCGGAAGGTGAAGTACTGTAAAAGCCATATATATAACGAAGTGCTAACTCTAACGAGTTAACGAGTAGAAATCTGTTGTTAAAATAGAAATCGATAGATATACTGTCCTATTGAGCGTTGAGAATGAGTGAAAATCGTTACCTTTGGAACACGTAAACTTGTCAATTTTGGGATATCGTTAATATGCGCCTCGTTAGAATAATGGCTTTACAGTATTCTTCCGGGCGCATCCTATTTGGAGCCCAAATCAACGAATATTATAAATCCAGCTGGGGCAACGAGAGTGACACGGTCACTAGCGACATGCTGCAGGGGCATCACACACTCTACGGTCACTACGTACCACTATTTGCCCCAGGTACCCCGTGAATCAACAAAATACACTGATCTGGGCTCTAAATTTCCAAACATTTGGCTCAGCAACCCCTCCCCCTCGAGTAAATTGTACTTCAGTTGGTTAACCGTACCACACTAAAATACCTTCCGACGCCCCTGGTAGTGACCGTATCACTCTCGTTGCCTCTAGCTGCATGCAGCTAACACTTACCAAGCAGAATAACGTCGGTCAGAATACCAAACATCTGATACGGCCCCTGCGGCAAACAACGAGAACCAGACAAGTAGTAGAGAGTGTCAAGATCAAGACAAAGTTTTCACTGTTCAAAGGGTTTGTGTCTCGGAGGGAGAGCTTAGACATACTGTCTTCTTGTCGTTTTATTTCATTTCCTCCTTGGATTCTTTCCTTCCATATTCGCCTCTCGGTGATTTCGCCCAGTTCCCGTTTAAAGGGGAAGTATACCCTAAAAATCAAATTTTCACCAGCTGTAGTCTTCGGGGTGCTGAGTCGAATGGTCTTGGTCCGAGGAAGCTGAGACGCTCCCTTCTTCCTTTATTCCCAGTCGAACTCGCGCACTTCCACCGAAACTGGGTGACTGCACCCTACTAGATAGGGATTTGTATGGAAAAAGTCACTAAAAACGCCGTTTCGTTCTTATAAAAGCACGGATGACTGCGATTGGTCCATATGTTGTAGTCTTGTGGCCGCTGAGTCGACTGGTTTTGGTCCGCAAAGGCTGCGATGCAGCGTTCGGCCCTTATTCCCAATCGAACACGGCTAAGTGAGCGGTCACGTGCTCATGTGTGCACAAGTCGCCCGGTCACCGTGCCTGCAGAGTACAATTTTCACATCAAGATTCAACTCAAAGGGTCAAAGCAGGGAGTCGTAAGAGGCTTTTACGACTCCCTGGTTCAAAGGTTCAACTCGAGTGACATAAGCGGGCCCAAACAGGCAGTAAATGAGCACGTGACCGCTTACTCACTCGTGTTCGATTGGGAATAAGGGCCGAATGCTGCATCGCAGCCTTTTCGGACCAAAACCAGTCGACTCAGCGGCCAAAAGACTACAACATATGGACCAATCGCGGTCATCCGCACTTTTATAAGAACGAAACGGCGTTTTTAGTGACTTTTTCCATACAAATCCCTATCTAGCAGGGCGCAGTCACCCAGTTTCGGTGGAAGTGCGCGAGTTCGTTTGGGAATAAAGGAGGAAGGGAGCGTCTCAGCTTCCTCGGACCAAGACCATTCGACTCAGCACCCCGAAGACTACAACTGGTGAAAATTTGATTTTAGGGTATACTTCCCATTTAACGTTGGAAGTTAAACACACGCAAACAAAAAACAACCACACAGCGTGTCACCAAACTTGGCCATCGGCACATCTGCCCAGCCCATAGGCCATTGATGGAACTCCACTGGCCAACACCGCATTCAGGACATCACTGTTTTCAAGACATCGCATTTACGGTAACAACACAACAAGAAGAGCAGCAGGGATACCGTGTTGGGACCCTGAGTTTCATGCACAAGTAAGCAATCACCAAAATACAAACCAAATTATCGACAGGGCTCCAGCCAGTCCATCGTCACTACTGGTTCATGAGCTCCAGCCAGTCCATCGTCACTACTGGTTCATGAAGGCACATTTGTCAGGGGTTAAGTCTGGGGTTCACCCCCATACGTTGCATTTCGCATGGCAAGACAATTTTGGGAAATTAAAAATTGGGTTACGGGGTAACAGTTTCCCCTGTCCCCCCCCCCCCCCCCCCTGCTATCTTGACCTGGCTAGAACCACGACTGAATACGAGTCCGAAATGTTCTGTGCTTACGTAAAAAATAAAAATAACTTTCAAAATCGGTTGGGGTTAATGTAATCTTGATGCATTCGAAGGCAAACTGAGAGTCACAATTTCATAACACTCTTTCATCTTGTAACTAGCTATGCCCGTGGGCATCGAACACTCTATTGGACAGCCTGAAACCTTTCTGTTTTGTAGCATCAACACACTTTTCCTTCCTCAATCCACGTCTCTCCTGACACTGAGGTGAATAAAGCAATGTGGTGGTGGGGCCCATTAAGCTGCTCAGCCGACCAGAGGTCTCGGCTTCATAGCTAGATGGACGCACAGAAGGGGGGCCGGCTACGGAGAACATGCAGCTGCATAGAACAGGTGCATAGCTCGCATGGGGCACGGGGGCACGTGCCCCCCCCCCCCCCCTAAAAAGGTTCGACCTAGGTTCAGCATGCACATAATGATCACGAATGACATGCACCAGCCATCCTACACATACATGCATGCGGCCATGCACCCCCCCCCCCCCCCCCCTCACCCTCCCCTAAAAGGGAGACCCGCTACACCCTGTAGAAGGTGTGGATACTAGTATGTCATGAAGGCATGGTAACCTACCGACATTTCATTGAGGCGTGTTAGAATGTGCTGCAGGAGATCGCTGATGAGTATCTGCTGCATTGGCCACTTAACCTTGTGATGTTGCCACTCCAGATGACGATGAAGAGCACGAGCTGTGTGGTGGAATGGTGGAGAATAGCCAACACACGCAAACACGCACGCATGTACGCGTGCACACACACACACACACACACACACACACATACACGCACGCACGCAGCCATTTCAACAAACGAACATATTAAAGTTAGCCGGATCCGCGGCCGCATCACCCGACATGTTTTAAAAGGAACACATGAAGCAAAGACATTTTGATACACACGTATAACTCTTCATTCCTCCGTAGCGTGTCCGATGCCCCTGCAGTACCAACCTATTGACAGTGTGTACCGTCACACTGTCTCCTTACCCGTGTAGCGGAAGCCATGGATGAACGCTCCAGACGACTTTCGGAAGTCACGATAGTGAGAAGCTGTACCAGCTGCAAACACATGCACACACACAAAGCACACAAACCAAACGTTGTGAAATGCGGTTTGAGTATTGTTTACACACCTTGTCGTATATGGTTTTGTCTAGTAGAGTCCGCTGGCTGATGTAATACATGGTCTGTGTACGCGTGACGATGGTGTGATGTGTGACCCGCATGGCAAGTGATGCATGCAAGAGTACGCGTTGTCAGAGTATGGGAGCCTGCTTCCGTCTATGTGAGAGTGATCGTCAAGTGAGTGCCGTGCATGCGAATAGCTAATTTGGTCTGGGAGTGAGAGTGATGAGTGAATTGTCCGTGGTCTGGTTGTCTCGGTCCTCGTCATGTGCTCTGTTTGAAATGGTCCCTGATTGCGTGTCGGAATTCGTCTGACGGTAAAGGAGTGGAGGAACTAATGCCAGCAAGTTAGCCACATGTGCTACAACGTGGGGTCATGATGCCGATGTGGTGAACGTTTTGCACCCGAAGAGTGCATGTGGAGGGGAGCGTGGAGTTAACATGACTTGTTCACGGGAAAAGAGAAACGGCAGGGAAAGCGTGTGCATAATACTACTTTACTTTCCCGGATATACATCACATATGTTACCCTTGACCTCTTCGGCAAGTTAAGTGTGAAATGCTACAGACTACACTCAATCTGCGGACAGAACTGTTTCGTCCTTTGTGGACTCACCAGCGCAACACAGAGAAAATGAGGCCGAACCTGATAGCAATGAAAAATAAATTCTCCAAAGCCAAACTAAACTAAAACATTACGGCTCAAACTTGAAGGCGGGCTGCGACTTATTTATTTATTTATTTTATTTATTTATTTATTACAGCATCTCATAGCACAGTGAGAACACCGGCCAATACAAAGAGAGAGGGTGTTAGCCAACCACGGCAAGGAAGGGAGAAGGGGAGGAGAAGAAAAAAAAGGAACCGGCATGGATAAGTAGTGATTGCAACAAAATGAGAAACACAAAATCAAAGTCAAGGCGCGACAAGGCTCTTAAAAAGGCGGAGGGAAGAAGGTCCTTAGCTTCTTGGGGAAGTGCCAGCCACGCAGAGTACGCAGTGAAAAGGGGGGAGTGAAGTAGAAAGGAGGACTTGGGTTTCGGAAGGGAAAGGGAGTTTCTCGTGCTACGGGAAGAAAACCAGTTGAAACAGTGGAGGTGAGGTGGACACAGATTGAGTTTGAGAGAATGGATAAGGGTGACAAGATGTGAATTACGTCTCTTAGACAAAGGGGTAGTGTCAGCAAGGGCATAAAGGGTGGAAGATGGGAGCATGCGGGGTTTTCGGAGGAGGATTTTTAGAACTTTTTTGTGCTGAATTTCGAGCTTGGCAGCACGGGTTGTGGAAATTCCAGCCCAAGCAGTATCTGCATAATCAAAAATGGGGCGTAGGTAAGCTGAGTGAAAGAGGAGTTTACAAGAGATTGGGAGATGGTAACAGTGAGAAGAGAGGATTCCTAAAGACTTGTAATCTGGCGTGACTTATAACCGGGGAAATACGATAACAAACGCATAGCCCGCATGGGGCACGGGGGCACGTGCACCCCCCCCCCTCCCTAAAAATTTCGCCCTAGGTTGAGCATGCACATGATGACCATGAGTGACATGTACCAGCCAAACTATATGAGGCTGTGCCCCCCCCCCCCCCCCCCCTAAAAGGGGGACCAGCTACGCCCCTGGGTGACCACAACACTCACCGATGTACAAGTTCTTGGTGCTGAATGATTCGTACGTTGGCTTGACGGCCGGGTACTTGGCCAGTCGTCCCTTTCCCATCTCCAGAGGGGCACGCGATCCGAAAATACTCTTGTCAAACTGTGAAAAAAACACATGGAACGATAATAAATTGAATCAAAATGCTTTTCATGTCACTTGCAGAGAACCTCTAGCGTGTTCTTTTGTGAGAAAAAGTGGACAAGCGTTCAGAACGTGCAGTCCATAAAAGTTTGAATTTAGACAATGCAAGAGGAAGGAGTCGGTGTTGGATTCCAGTCATTTCAAAATTCGAGCGCATCTTCAATGCACGAGATCGCAATACACACACATTGTCCGAGATGATAGATGTCGAAGAATGGACTAAAACTCGAGTAATACCCAGGGGCGTACATAGGGCGGTTCCCGGGATGCCCGGGAACCAGCTAAAAAAATTCGATGTGTGTACGGAGAATGTTTTGATCCAGGCCCAGCGTCGCTGGGGCATTTTTGTGACACAGCGTAGATCTACTGAACTGACGGGGTGCAACAAAGTCTCTACATGCGAGTTACATCGATCAAGAGTACATAACCCCCAGTATATTATGAACTCTTGCATCGATTCTTCGATCTCAGAGTCATTTCCTTTGCAGTTTGTTTCGACAAAGTTACGTTTTTGACGATGCTCTCGCTTTGCGGAAAAGAAAAATGAAGAGTCGACATCCAGAGAGCCAGCGCTCTATTCAGAGCTATTTTGAGCAAGAGGCAAAGCGTGTATATGTAGCCAGTGAGAAAGGTCAAGCGATAGATGAGGTCGCGGACGCACCTGACTTGCAAGTGGAGTCTGCAACGAGCAGCACAGAGGACGGAATCATCGGCGAAGCTGTAGAGCAACCGTTGTTGGAAGCTGCTAGATCATCCAAGACTTACTTCAGTGACATTGGAGTGTGTTGGAAAGGATAATCTGAAAGGTGTACTTCCACAGTGGAATCCCTGACTCCCCCGAAATTTGCCGGACATGGAAAAGATTTCCATCATCGACAATCATTGTGCGCCACTGAAGGCGAAGGATTTCGTTTCCTGTGCGTGTCCAGACGGATGGCAAACAGCGCCGCTTTCAACTACTAGTATCCTGGTTGGAGGAGTTTCCCTTGGTAGTTTTTTGACCGGCGTGCCATGGTGGCTTCTGCTTGCCCTGTGTAATGTTTGCTCCAGATAATTCGAAGCTAAGGCAACTTTACCGCAGTCCTCTCGAGAATATAACCCGACCTAAGACTGCATTACATCGTCCTGCTGAACAAAACATCCATAAAAATGCCTTGGCAAAGTTCAGTCTTTTAAAATCAAATATGCGTAGCAGTGACATTATCCATAAATTTATGCAGAAACTACGTCGGATACGTATAAGAGCACTAGCAATTGTGTGGAATGTTGGTTGATCAGTTGGCATGGGAACCACTCCTGGAGGCGAGCGGTGTACGCCCCTGATACCGGACTAATATTGGACAAGGACTGGAGAAGTGATCAGTTGATGGGCATCTCAGGAAACATGAAACGACACTCTTTGAATTTGTATTCGTATTAATGGGTTCTCCACAGGCCTTAGCCTAAATCGAGGGAGTCTCCTTCAACAACTTATGAAGAAGAAGAAGCTGAGGAGAATAATAATCAGGGGCGTAGGAGGGGTTTTGGAAGTGGTACGACCGAAGGTCGGTGCGGCCGAAGGGCGTGTTGGAGGGGGGTCCGGGGGACGTCCCCCGTGAAAATTTTGTAAAAAGGACACAAAATCCTGCGTTCTGGGAACTTCTGGCACACTTCTGGCACAGTGTGCAGTCTAGTCGAGTACAGACTCAGTACTCAGTACGACTGCAGATGCATAACAGATCTACGAGTACGAGTCTAGAAAAAAGGTCAAAGTCTGATGCGCATAATTATATGCATCGATGGATCCTAATTTTTTTATTACGGTTTTGCACGTTCCGGACGGACCACACTTTTCGAAAAGTGGTACGGCCATGGTCGTACCAGTCGTAGCGGGTGCTACGCCCCTGATAATAATAATAAAAAGTCTCTCTCTTCTGGAGATGCAAAGGCCACTATACTCATGTTGTCATTACGACTGCTCACGGAAAGCACTTGCCACAAGAACTAGGTAACAGGGAGTATTCGTTGAACTCAACTCGTCGCTATGTACAATGTCATTACATCCAATCTTCACTATCCAGTGTGTTTAAACATGCCTTGATCCTTGAAGGGTGGTGGCGTTCCGACGGATGCGGAAAACCCGGTTTCCAGCCGAGTCTCACGCGAACCGTGAATTTTTTTTAATGCATAGAGGGTGATCCATAGAGGGTGGTAACATTCCTATGGGTGACTATGGGTGCTATGGGTGCTATGGGTGACTATGGGTGCTATGGGGGCTATGGGTGACTATGGGTGACTATGGGTGACTATGGGTGACTATGGGTGACTATGGGTGACTATGGGTGACTATGAGTGACTATGGGTGACTATGGGTGACTATGGGTGACTATGGGTGACTATGGGTGACTATGGGTGACTATGAGTGACTATGGGTGACTATGGGTGACTATGGGTGACTATGGGTGACTATGGGTGACTATGGGTGACTATGGGTGACTATGGGTGACTATGGGTGACTATGGGTGCTATGGGTGACTATGGGTGACTATGGGTGACTATGGGTGACTATGAGTGACTATGGGTGACTATGGGTGACTATGGGTGACTATGGGTGACTATGGGTGACTATGGGTGACTATGGGTGACTATGGGTGACTATGGGTGACTATGGGTGACTATGGGTGACTATGGGTGACTATGGGTGACTATGGGTGACTATGGGTGACTATGGGTGACTATGGGTGACTATGGGTGACTATGGGTGACTATGGGTGACTATGGGTGACTATGGGTGACTATGGGTGACTATGGGTGACTATGGGTGACTATGAGTGACTATGGGTGACTATGGGTGACTATGGGTGACTATGGGTGACTATGGGTGACTATGGGTGCTATGGGTGACTATGGGTGACTATGGGTGACTATGGGTGACTATGGGTGACTATGGGTGACTATGGGTGACTATGAGTGACTATGGGTGACTATGGGTGACTATGGGTGACTATGGGTGACTATGGGTGACTATGGGTGACTATGGGTGACTATGGGTGACTATGGGTGACTATGGGTGACTATGGGTGACTATGGGTGCTATGGGTGACTATGGGTGACTATGGGTGACTATGGGTGACTATGGGTGACTATGGGTGACTATGGGCGACTATGGGTGACTATGGGTGACTATGGGTGACTATGGGTGACTATGGGTGACTATGGGTGACTATGGGTGACTATGGGTGACTATGGGTGACTATGGGTGACTATGGGTGACTATGGGTGACTATGGGTGACTATGGGTGACTATGGGTGACTATGGGTGACTATGGGTGACTATGGGTGACTATGGGTGACTATGGGTGACTATGGGTGACTATGGGTGACTATGGGTGACTATGGGTGACTATGGGTGACTATGGGTGACTATGGGTGACTATGGGTGACTATGGGTGACTATGGGTGAATATTTTAAAGCATAAATTAATTAAGCAGCACGCTACTGTACATCAAACTTTAGAATAAGGGGTTAGGGGGGGCGGGGGGGGGGGGGGAGACACATACAAAAAAACGCTGTGAGAAACAGCAAGTACCTTGAAACCCAGGCATCGGAGTACAACGTCGTACGGCTCCCTCATAGCAAAGTTATCCGCTGGGCATCGTACAAGACAGGCAATATAAGATAATTGATATATGCATACTGGATAAATTGATCCCTGATATGAACATTCTGCTTCAATGCCACGTTCTGCAGGCATTCTTCAGCGTGCCCACACAGAAACAAGGTCTACAGACTGATTGTCCATCTTGAGAATACTGTAGTGTCTTGTATCAAAGCCTGTCTCATATAGAAGCCTGTTTTGAATAGAAGCCTGTTTTGAATAGAAGCCTGATGTTCAAGATACACCGTCAGCACATAAGTCTGGTTAAGTGTTTACATACATAGAAATACCTGTCTTTTATAGAAGCCTGTCTCATATAGAAGCCTGCAAAATTTCTCCAAAAAAGTCATATAAGCCGCAACCATTATACACGACTGCACGGCATGCCTTGTAAAAAGACTTCGATTCAAAACAGGCGTTCATAGACGGGAGTTAGGTAAACCATTGCTGTCCTGAATCCTACTCCCCCCCCCCCCCCCCCCGACCCCTCCTCCCCAGCGGCCGCCCGCTCCCGTATGGCTTCAAACAAGGGCATGGACAATGGCTCGCTATATTACGAAATTCGCTACATGAGGGTTCGTAATAAGTGGAGTCGACTGTTGAACAAAGTAAGTCCTACTGTAACTCTGCTCTTCTCATGGGAGATCTACATAAAAGCTTACGCATATCCGTGGCATCTTCCAGCTGCTTCACTTCTGACGGGTGCAATGAATCCTCGTCGGAATCCTCAGTCAAAATCCACAGTTTGCCGTCGACTTTCTTCAAGGCCAGAGAGGTCACAGATGCCTCTGAACATAAAAACAGAACCGCGACAAGAACGGAATATGAACGTATGAAGGCGCAGAAGTTGTAGTAGCTTGTGAAATGTACTGCACGGTGACATTATGATTATGCTTGACAGTAACCGGTACGCGAACCCGTCGAATTTTTTTTTGACAGTGCAGCATATGGTGTTGTAGTACGTTATTTTGTGTACGTCGTGTGTACGTGGTGCTGGTGCATGCGCGTATTGCTGTGGGGTGAAAAGTAGTCTTCGTCTTGAGTTCGTCATGTCTAGTTGTGTGTCCGTTGTCTTGTCATAATAAACAGTCTTCTAAATGTGAATAGCGTCGCCCATTGTCTGAGTGTGGAGATTGCATGGGGCTGGGAGCAGGTGAAGAAAGTCCAGATACAACAAAAAGAGAGGGAATGGGGAGATGGTAGGAGGGAGTCACGACAAAAGAAATTGGAAGAGTTGGCGAGAGAATAACCATCAAGCCTGATTCGCACTTCATTTCGCGTAGGGGAAACTCGTTGCGTCGCGAAAAAGTTGACCTGAGCTCAACTATTTCGCGTACGGGAAAGCCATCGCGCGACCGTCGCGCCGGACCACCTCGAAATGAAGTATGAATCGGCCTTAAAGCAGGGGCGTAGGAGCCGGTCCAGCCGGACCACTTTTTTTGCCCAAAATGCAGAATTTTGCACCCTAATTTTAATATTTTCCCGGGGAGACCCCCCCCCCAACCCCCTCCGGCCGGACCACCTCCAAAGGCGGTGCAACGTGCCTGTAAAGGGGTACAAGGGGGAGTAGGAGAAACAGAACAAAAGACATCGAGCAATGACAAAGTTAGGCGCAGCTAGAGTGAAAATCGGAGTAAAATCTCCACAAACATTGTGGTGGACCAATGCAAAATACGTACCCAACATAGCATCCAATGACTTCAGCTGATAAGTATCCAGGAGATTATTGTTCAATGCTCTGCGGTTACAAGCGCGCACACGCACGCGCGCACACACACACACACACACAGACACACACAGACACACACATACACACACGCACACACGCACACACACACACACACACACACACACACAACCACGCCAAAAATCGCTGTAAAACTCTCCCACCGTACTCCACAATACAGAATCAAATGGAAAGAAGTGAATTGTACCAGGCACAGAGTGTAACATGGCTTAGCATGGATGTACCTGAGATCTCCGACATAATGTGTTGCCCAGGATAGTCGTACACGAGACCTGAATAACATACAGACAGACATGCAAACAATGACATCATAGATATGCAAACAATGACATCATATAGATATGCAAAAGATGACATCATAATATTATAGACATGTGGACAAGAAGAAGAGCGAGAGTGAGCAAGAATGACAAGAGAGAAAGAGAATGACGCACACAATACATCACTACATCACACTAATGGCATTGCTGCAGTAGCTCTAGGAAGAACACACATGCTCCAGATTCAACAACTTCAACTACATTGTCCTCGGCAATTTTTCAGGATACAAAATGGGAAGAGATAATTAGGCAAGGGCTAGATTAGAAGCAGACAGACAGACAGACAGACAGACAGACACACGTGCTCGCACACACACCCAAATACACACACACACACACACACGCACAGGCATGCCCACACACCTAATCACCTACCTGGCCACCATATGAATCAAGTTTGTAGACCCAACGATATGATCAGCAGTTTCATACGCAGAATTTCCTGCACAAGTCAAACAACACATGGCGGTCATGTGCAAATACACACACTCCTTTGGACCTTTGGAAAGCCCATCGCCGAAGGCGATGATAGCTATTAGGCGAGGCAGTAGTTCTTGTGTCGTGATAAATCATTCGGACGGCGAAAGTCGCGGCCGCAGACACAGACGAACACTCTTGGTTGGGGCTGGCTTGGTGGCTTCCGACGGCTACGTTCGCGCCAGTCCCTCCGGTCCTGAGCAAGGTGGTACCATTGCGCCTCCGGGATACCGGTCGCACGCAGGTCTGAAGCTGCCACATCTCTCCAACGACACGCACACGCACACACACACACACACACACACACACACACGACAATATGCGCCTGGAAAAGAGGAGGGATAGGGTAACTAAAGTTCTGATTGAAATGCAGTACGAAGTAACTTGACCAGCACACGCCACTGGCTCTGCTGTGCAGTCCTTCACTCCCAGTAACGTCAATGTGGTGAAAGCCTTGACAGGTAGGAGGCTGCTAGTATTTCAAACACGCAGATCACGGCTTATAAAAGCTCACCTCTGCCAAGAATCAGCACAGTTTTGCCTTCATAGTCAGTTTGGTTTAGCGACATATCCTCGTATCCCTGGACACACAGACCATAGCCACCGTGTTTGTAAGAATACACAAGATAGTAATACACCGGAGGATACACCCAGAGTGCTGACAGTGCTCAACACAACGCGGAGGCGGAGCGTAACACACAGAACAATAAGGACAATCAAGGCTAGTCAGTCGCTACTCAAAGTTGCATGCTTTCTCAACCATCAGCCATCATGTTCTGTATGCACAAGATAAAAACCAAGAGGCAACCCGATGTGGACGATCTTGAACTGTGGAAAGACATGTTGGTAATGTATAAGTACAGCGAGATCCGTGTAGCAACAAGAGCAGGCTAAGCGCAGCCCGCATGGGTCACGTGCACCCCTAGATATTTCGACCTAGGTTCAGCAGCCACATAATAGAGAGCACGTTATTTCTGACGTGATGCGAAAGTTCAGCTCGCGTTATTTGGCTCTCGCGTCGAAAAACAACGCGCGTGACCTGAACTCACGTCGGAATTTGGAGTTTTACGCCAAATTTGGCGTGAAATTGCGTGTCACGTCGGAACTAACGTGCACCTTAACCTCTCTAGTGACCGTGAATGACATACACCAGCCATCCTACAGGTATGAAGTATGGTAGATATACGGGCCATGCACCCCCCCCCCCCCCCCCCCCTAGCTATGTCCCTGAAGAGTACATAAACCCCAAGAATGTGCAACTGTATGCACAACCTCTATGGAGTGCTGCGATGGCAGAACTTCACATCACGTGACATGGTTCAAACGGCTGCACTGCCAAACAGTACAGAGTGAGCACAAGAGAGTTGAACCCAACGCAGGATTGCGTACAAACCTGTGTTTATCATGCGGCACAGGGTGTAAATAATGTGTACGGCATTATGATGCGGGAGTTCAGTCGTCGCAGACCCAATATAGACTTGCACACTCTTGGGCGGTTTAAACTCTTTCATAGCATCCCCTGGCAGGGCGTCAGAAACGGTACGGTTACTACGGTATTGACCGTACCACCTTTTGCCCCATGTACCCCGTGAATCAATAAAGATACACTGATCCGGGCTCTATGTTTCCATTTTTTTTGCCTCAGCAACCCCTCGCCCTCGAGTAAATTGTAGTTCAGATGGCTGACCGTACCACACTAAAATACCTTCCGACGTTGCCCCTGACTGGACAGCCATTTGCAGGGGCGTAGCTACTAGCTCGCATATCTGGGGTCTAGAGACCATAAAGCAGAGCACATGTCTGGTGTGCTGACTACATGTACATTTCACATGTACATGTGAAATGTACAGTGCTGGCAACTGAAATCCGACTCCTGGGCGGTGCGTGCACATTCTAGCGGTCTCTGTTTCGTAGTGCTCCAATCCTGTGTTGGATTTTTGCAATGTGAGCGCACCGCTCAGGGGTCGGATTTCAGTTGCCAGCACTCTACTATCGGCAACCTCATAGTCGCCATTTTGCTTATTTTGACTATGTAGTAAATATTTGTTCTCGTATTTCACAAACTCCAACGCAGCCACTTACGCATTTAGCAAACTTCACTTCTCTACTCCAAAAACGGTCTCTTCACTGCGAATCAAATAAAATTTAATTTTAATTTGAAGTGAACAGACCGTTTTTGGAGTAGAGAAGTGAAGTTTGCTGAATATGCAGCAGGGGCAACGTCGGAAGGTAGTTTAGTGTGGTACGGTCAGCCATCTCAAGTACAATTTACTCGTGGGGGAGTGGCGGCTGAGCCGAACATTTTGGAATTTTAGATCCCAGATTAGCGTATTCTGTTGATTCTCGGGGTATCTGGGGCAAATAGTGGTACGGTCAATACCGTAGTGTCCGTACCGTGTGCGACGCCCCTGTGCAGTAAATATGAAAGCCATTTTCTATTGTGGTGATCTGACTACTCTGACTATACACGAGCTATGCGCCTGTGTTTGCCAACCCGTTGTATATACTACACTACCGTCGGTCGCCGAAGAAATGTGGAGGGGGGGGGGGGCAGCCTCCTAGCCTGGTTCATTCCTGTTTTCATGTATTTTAAAAGTCAAGGTGTATACATTGGTATGCTGTGCTTGGTGAAGTTCTAGGCTAGTCGCTCTTTGGCGCTCCGTTCTTCGGAATCAGACTCAGAGTTACAGCAAACCTGAACGTCTTCCGTTGAGTCTGCTATGTACTAAGCTCTGTCTATGATAGTAAGCACTCTCTGCAGCTCGGGGATCAGCGGATTTGAAACACGGAGCTCCTTTGTTTTACAACAACAAGATCACTCGTGGACTTACCGTCACGTACTCCTCTCCTGCCGCCATCTTGGGTTTGTTGGGGATCCAAATACCAGTCCTGGATGTACGCCGCAAGCAACAACACCAACAACAACAACAACACCAACAACAACAACAACAACAACAACAACAACAACAACAACAACAACAACAACACCAACAACAACACCAACAACAACACCAACAACAACAACAACAACAAGAAAAGAGGAATTGTTTAGCTAAAACATGATCTGTGTAGCCATTCTAGAAGGATTACGAATGCAAAGTATCTCTCACTTCTAAACACTGAGGACCAGAAAAAAAGCTAGTTCATTGCCGCATGGTCTGGCAACGGAACAGCAAATATTGCACGGGGGCTTCGTTGTGTTGCAATATGATGGGAAGTTACATTTGAAACCTACCGAATTTTCCCGAGTATAAGCCGCAGTTTGAACACCAGGAATCCCCCCCCCCCCCCTCAAAAAAAGGCTGTAGGGCTTTTACTACTATGGTCAAATTAACGGTGATACAGGGGAGGGGGTCGATGTCTGTATTTCGTGGCAAAAAAATCTGGGTGCGGCGTATACTGGGAAAACCAAGGTACACACGGATACTCACGCCGCAACGAGAATCTCGCACTCGTATCGTTGTTCTTTCTCATCGAGCAAGATAAACTGCTTCTCGCCGGGTTTGTCAACGTGGACGATGTTTGTCTCGTACTGGATATTCAGCTCGTACTTCGACGCATAGTCTTTCATGTACTGAATCTGAAACAGCAAAACACGCCAGCAAAGTGCGCAACACAATCATGGCAGGCCACACGCCAATCATGTAGTGAATCACTGCACTTTATTCAGGGGCGTCGGAAGGCATCTCATTGTGGTACATCCAGCCATCTGAAGTGCAATTTGCTCGTGGGAGAGTGGTTGCTGACCCAGGAAATTGGGAAATTCGGAGCCCAGATCAGTGTATTTTATTGATTCGCGGGGTACCTGGGGCAAAAGGTGGTACAGTCAATACCGTAGTTACCGTAGCTTGTCCGACACCTCTGTTATTACGAGGCATGTGTAGAACAATGACCCGTGCAGCACTGGCTAGAACTATGGTGCCGAAAAATCCCGCCAGAGCGCCCCTACCTCGAGTAGGTCCAGGTGGGCAGGGGCGGATGGGCGAGTCCTACTTGCCGCATTCAGTACTACATGAAAACGTACCCACCCTACGAAAACGTGGGTGCGTCTCGTACACCGACCAAAAGTCAAGAGCAGGGATTCGTACAGACCCACCTAAAACCCAGGGTTTGTGCAATCTCTGGTCAAGAGGGTGGGCACTGTTGCGTACATTTCCAACCGGGTTGAGCACGCGTCTGTAGTACCGTATGACATCACACTTCACAGAGTCATACGAGGATACAATCATTATCACTTCCCTGACAAGAAGTCAGGGAGGGGCGCATGGGAGAGACGGGGCGCTCTGGCGGGATTTAACGGTATATGTACTTTATGACAACAAGTAATAAGTATAGGCACACAGTAGTGGACATTGATATCCGCTGAGAAGTCAAGCGGCCACTGCCGTTGTCTTCTTCTCCTGCTTGTGAGCGGAAAATCTTTTCAACCCGTACCTGTGTGGCTTCGAGAGTATGAGCGTTCCAGAACAATGATCCTTGCAACATTAGCTAGAACCATGAACCGAGCAGAACAAAACTGGCCAGAACCATGGCATTAGTGACACTAGCTAGAACCATGCCCCTTGCAATATTAGCTAGAGCCATGACCCCCGCAACATCAGCTAAAGCAAGGGGCTTCACCTTGCGGGGGGGGGGGAGGGGGGAGGGGAAGGGGGGGAGGTACGACCGGAGTCGGGGGGGGGTCCCACGGGACACAAAATCGGAATTTTCGGCCAACATGGCGCGTTTCAGCGCTCTTCTAGTGCTTTTTCGGATGAATTGGGCGGACCATCCAGGAGAAAAAGTTGTACGACCATGGGCGTCCCGTGTGTGACGCCCCTGTAGAGCCATGCACCACCACAACAACCAGTTCCTTACCAGTGTGTCAGCGTGGGGAAAGAAATCTTTGGAATAGTGTCTCATGAGCAATCCTGGATCATCACTCAGAAGTGAGTTCCAGTCATGACGAAGATTGAACTCGGGGTTCTCTTTGCCTACAAAAAAGACACCGGGGAGAGACATGCACACACAAGCAGCTCAGATCTAAACTCAGATTGAGAGGAAGGTGAGAAAAAATAACTCCAAAAGTATGCTAGATTACTAGCTGACGGATACTGGACAAACCATGCACTGAATCTTCGTGTCACAACTGGCTGGAATGATGGTTGCGTTTCCAAACGCATGTGTAGAATTGCAGACTTCGCCTCACATACCACGGTAATCATTGGTACGATGGAAGACTCTAGCTCACGTACCGTATATTCCGGGGTGTTAGCCGCACTTCAAAAATGCATAAAAAGACTCAAAAAAACATCCCTGAGGCCCCGGCCCCGGTGCGGCAAACACCCTGGAAAAGACGGCACTCTCGGCTGGGTAATCATTGGCACAATGGATTACAAACCTACAGACTACAAACGTACCTGTGAAGCGTTTGTTGATGGAAATGACTTTCCGGTGACGCGGGTACTTCTCGAAAAACGATCCTGCATCACAAGGAACACATGAAATCCATCGGCTTATGATGAGATTCAGCACAATGGACCCATTGCGCAATGACGTAATTTGTACTGTAAACACCGCACACAGCCACCTGGGCATGGTCGTCTGGGATGTTGAACAGTGCATTGCTGATCCCAGTGTATTCACATAACACCCCACACAGCCACCTGGGCATGGTCGTCTGGGATGTTGAACAGTGCATTGCTGATCCCAGTGCACTCACATAACACCCCACCCAGCCACCTGGGCATGGCCGTCTGGGGTGTTGAACAGTGCATTGCTGATCCCAGTGTACTCACATAACACCCCACACAGCCACCTGGGCATGGTCGTCTGGGGGTGTTGAACAGTGCATTGCTGATCCCAGTGTACTCACATAACACCCCACACAGCCACCTGGGCATGGTCGTCTGGGGTGTTGAACAGTGCATTGCTGATCCCAGCGTACTCACATAACACCCCACACAGCCACCTGGGCATGGTCGTCTGGGGTGTTGAACAGTGCATTGCTGATCCCAGCGTACTCACATAACACCCCACACAGCCACCTGGGTATGGTCGTCTGGGGTGTTGAACAGTACATTGCTGATCCCAGTGTACTCACATAACATCCCACACAGCCACCTCACGGCTGTTACGACAGTACAAAACGGGCCCACTTGGTTTTTGTACAGGAGATGGCGCTTCCCGGGACTTTCCCGTTCTCAACGTTCAAAATTTGTACTCAAGGAGGTGTATTTTGAACGCAATCTCTGCTCAGTTGGGTCTCCAAAGCACCACTTCTGATTACCGCGTCGAGCTGTCCTCGCGGCTACAGTTGCGCAACATCCTGACCATGCTTCGCCAAAGAAAAAAAGTAGTGAATTTGAGCTTTCCTTCGCTGAGAAAAGCCATTCTTCATGGAAATTTGTCTCTGAAGTTGTTGCCGTTCGATCGTTCTAGTCACCGAAGTTTGTTGCCTCCTTGAGGTGCTCAACGAGTTTTCGTCACGTCAATGGTAGTTTTGCCGAGGAGAAGAGTATCTGTGTAGCTGTTTTTTGTTACTGCTGGGGCCCCGCTGATTCCTTGTTGGCCCCGCTGGGTCCAAATCTCTAGCAACATTTAGTAGAAATTGTTATTTATTCAGTGGATTTGAAATGGAAAAACACCAAGAAAAGTTACAGCTGGTATGCAGGTTAGGCGGTGAAAAGTTGTGTAGTACTAGCCGTGGAACTCAGCACCTTGTGAGAGATCATGCGAAAGCCATTGAATCTGTGCTGAGTATCAATGTGTTGTGTGATGGCCAAAACACTCATGCATATGAATATGCATGTAGCTCCAGCCTCATCCAGTCTGCATTTAGACGATGCAACAATTGGCATGGATATTCCCGTGATGAAACTGTACGACATTGCATCACCGCCATACAAAGCAATTGCTGACTTGCTGCCGGAACGCTTTAAATACAGAGTTCGTTGCAGCAGGTGCCAACTTGCAGCACGCACGGCGGTACAACAATGTGATTAGAAAAGCCATTCTTCCTGTTGAGCTGCAAGACGTGTGTATTCCTGTGCTCCACCTAGATCTAGGGATTTATCCCTGGATTTACGGTGCACTTTGTGCTGACGCACATCAAATCGATATTGCACTGAGCAAATATATGTTTCTTGCTGCAGATGACGGTGACTCTGCAGCGTTTACAGCACTTATCAATGCCTACAAGAACGTACACGACACAGCAACACAACAACTTCACCTACAGTCAGAAGCACAAAGCATTCTTAGTCAGCTGCAGTTTGTGACGCTACAAGAACGTACACGACACAGCAACACAACAACTTCACCTACAGTCAGAAGCACAAAGCATTCTTAGTCAGCTGCAGTTTGTGACGCTACAAGAACGTACACGACACAGCAACACAACAACTACACCTACAGTCAGAAGCACAAAGCATTCTTAGGCAGCAGCAGTGTGTGACGCTGCACATTCAGCAGCAGGAAGTAGTGGCTGCTGGCTTGCAGACTGTGGCATCAAATCTGCACTTCCTATGGAAGGAGAAAGAAAAGGAACTCAATTTGATGAATGAGAGGTGATGTGGCTAGAAAAGAGCATGAGAAATTAACAGTAAAAGATTAAAAAAAGCAGCTGGCCCGTGCGTAACTTCCTTGGAAGCAGTACTGCCACAGTACCAAATAAAGCGGCAAGCATATCACTCCGGAGCATTTGTCGGCAACCACATACACCGTGCGTTGAAAGCGAATGTCATTGCTGCCCTCACTTCTGTTCCCCTTACAGTCGTGCAGAGCCGCACACCTGCGGACAGCGGCGAGGTTCAGCTGCTTGCCCAGGCAAAGTCCTTGAGAGATCGCTACTCGAGACTCTTCACAGAGTATGCAGCATGTCGCAAGCTGTTCAGCGGCAAGCTGGTTTTTACAACAGCAACAAGGCAGGTTCTGGGTGATGCCATCCACACCTTCATGGCCACCTGCAGAGTGGAGGTTCTGGCACGCAAGTTAGGCAATGTGACTCCTAAGCTTCACCTTCTCGAGTGCCATGTCCTTCCTTGTACAGGGTTGAAATTAATTCTTGCTGATCTGTTCGGCCACACACTCTGAGCTCCTCTGATGAGACTTAACAAGGTTGAAATTAATTCTTGCTGATCTGTTCGGCCACACACTCTGAGCTCCTCTGATGAGACCTAACAAGGTAGAAATTAATTCTTGCTGATCTGTTCGGCCACACACTCTGAGCTCCGCTGATGAGACCTAACAAGGTCGAAATTAATTCTTGCTGATCTGTTCGGCCACACACTCTGAGCTCCCCTGATGAGACCTAACACTGTAACAGGGTTGAAACTAATTCTTGCTGATCTGTTCGGCCACACACTGTGAACTCCGCTGATGAGACCTAACAAGGTCGAAACAGCTATAGCTGTCCGGAGATTGAGCAAACTTGACAAAAAGTTCTCCTCCGATCCGGCGAGGCGCAGGTCGTCATTTTGCGAAAGAGTCCTGCGAAGCACATCTCCTTTATCTGCTACTGAGCGGTATCCGTTGCACTTCGCGGAGCACAGCTGCCTCCAACAACATTTTTGACGAGCAAAAGACTGAAGAGACGAAATCCATAAAAGTACTATTTCAAGCACATGTATTCGAAGTGACAGAACCTTTTCTTTCTGCAGAAATGATCATGAAAATTTGAAAAATGCGATGAGCGTACCCACGCTTTCCGTGTGACCTCTGTTGCCAGGGGCGTTGCTACAGGTCGCCGCCATCTTGCCAAGTGACCTCCCCGTAACAGCCGTGCACCTGGGCATGGTCGTCTGGGCCATGGGGGTGTTGAACAGTGCATTGCTGATCCCAGCGTACTCACATAACACCCCACACAGCCACCTGGGCATGGTCGTCTGGGGTGTTGAACAGTGCATTGCTGATCCCAGTGTACTCACATAACATCCCACACAGCCACCTGGGCATGGTCGTCTGGGGTGTTGAACAGTGCATTGCTGATCCCAGTGTACTCACATAACACCCCACACAGCCACCTGGGCATGGTCGTCTGGGGTGTTGAACAGTACATTCCTGATCCCAGTGTACTCACCTAACACCCCACACAGCCACACCTGGGCATGGTCGTCTGGGGTGTTGAACAGTGCATTGCTGATCCCAGTGTACTCACATAACACCCCACACAGCCACCTGGGCATGGTCGTCTGGGGTGTTGAACAGTGCATTGCTGATCCCAGTGTACTCACATAACACCCCACACAGCCACCTGGGCATGGTCGTCTGGGGTGTTGAACAGTGCATTGCTGATCCCAGTGTACTCACATAACACCCCACACAGCCACCTGGGCATGGTCGTCTGGGGTGTTGAACAGTACATTCCTGATCCCAGTGTACTCACATAACACCCCACACAGCCACCTGGGCATGGTCGTCTGGGGTGTTGAACAGTACATTCCTGATCCCAGTGTACTCACATAACACCCCACCCAGCCACCTGGGCATGGTCGTCTGGGGTGTTGAACAGTACATTCCTGATCCCGGCGTACTCACAAGCATTACTCACACATTCCATACTTGGCAATGCGCAATGGGTCTACATGTATATGTCGTATGTGAGTGCATTCAGAACATGAAGTCGATATGAAGTCCCATGCATACCAGCTATTGCACTGCTTGCCAAAGGCATGAGTGTCGTAACACTTGATGAAAGATTCACTAACTTCACAATAGTCAACACATCACCGCAGAAACAAAATAATGACATCACTGCATCAGCAAATGACATCGTTGTACATGCATACGACATCATCACATCATGTAAATGACATCATCATCATCATAAATGCGTTGTATGGAGTGGCAAGCCAGTGTTTGTGTTGCCACACCACGCACAGCAGTCTGAACAATGATATACAGTAAAAGCTGTCAAGGCGACCGCTCGGATAAGGCAACCACCTGTTCTGGAAGACCACTGCCACCAGGACCAAGAGATGCTATTTCCAGTCAAACACCCCGGATAAGGCGACCACCTGGTAACAGAGACCACGTTTTGAAGGTCCCTTGAGCGGTGGTCGTCCTAGACAGGTTCTACTGTACATTGCATAACCTAGCATATTATCCGGAGCATAAGCCACACTCTACACACTCTACACACTCTACACACTCTACACACTCTACACACTCTACACACTCTACACACTCTACACACTCTACACACTCTACACACTCTACACACTCGTAACTTACCCCGGAATAATCAGAGTGACGCAGACTACCATGGTTAAATGAATGGTGATACACAGGGTAGATGTCTGTTACTCACGACAAAAATCTGGGTGCAGCTTTAATCCAGAAAATACAGTACTAGTATACATACGGTAAAACCCATCAAGGCGACCACTTGCCTCAGAAGACCACCTGCCTCAGAAGACCACCTGCCTCAGAAGACCACTGTACCAGGACCAAGGGATGCTATTCGCAGCCAAACGACCCTGGATAAGGAGACCACCTGGTAACAGAGACCACATTTTTCAGGTCCTTTGAGCGGTGGTCGTCTTAGACAGGTTTGACTGTAGTTACACTAGTTGGTGGCCAGTATTGCTTGGAAAGCATACGCACATCACCACCTCTAACCTGGATACGTGTTCTTCTCCAGTATGATGTAGTCGCGCCTGGCCTTCTTCATGAAATAGCCCATCTGCAGACCGGCTGGACCAGCACCGATGATACAGTACTGGTGCTTGCTCTTGATTGCCGCGTCGTTTGAACTGGCCGCTCCAAACAAGCCCACGGCTGCAAGCACCGTGCAGAGTAGTACTGTCCGAAGTAGGACTGACGCCACCGCCACCGCCGACGAGGCCATCACTGCAAAAACATTCATCAGATTCAAATCCGTTACTTGTAGTACCCCCGTGGATACCAGTGACCGTAGAACTCCCACATTGATTTTTTTCTGTCTGTTCTCTTTTGTGCCTTGTTCTCATTAGGGGTCGTCCGTATTTTTCGAAAAATTAAAAATCCGTCCTCAGGCAGAAAGGGGGTGGGTGGTCAAGAGCGCTGGCGGAATTTAATTTTTTGATTTTTCGTACTTCAAGTACTTTTTTTTTTTTTTTTTTTTTCGTCAGTGACTTTCATACACTTGTTGCACTGACATGTAGTGCACTGTAGACGTAGTGTGGGATCGCAAACACCAGTATGATATACCGGTACATGACTCTTTTGTAGTTGTAGGACGTGCATGGCCGTCGGTAGATCTACTCACTTTACTTAGCTACTAGTACTTGACATACATGTAGGTGCAATCAGTGAACATGGGGTCAGGAGTTCTTTTTTTCGAGCTGGGCATCGGTAAAAATCAAAACATTAATGGAAAAAATGGGGGGTGGTAGGGTGGGTCAGAGACAATTTTGCACGAGGACGGATTTTTTAATTTTTCGATAATTACGGACGACCCCTTAATCTATTTTCTTCTTTTTTTTCTCATATGAAACTCGGACGTTGAGCCAATAATTAATGTAGAAAGGAAAAGGACATATGGATACGAGTTAAGAGTAACTGTCCACCACGGTAACTAGATATTATATACTGTCAGAAAATGCACCAGCTAGGCACAAAACTGACAGAGTATTGAGACATTCCGGCGACGACCGGACACCTGGCTTCAACACATCTCCCTAGTGCTAAACAGCCTTCCAACTCAGAAGGTTCAAGGCTAAGGAGAGACCGAAGAGGGAAAGGTACAGTATTTTCCCATTTTGAACGTACGCGTCTCCAATACCAGTACTGGGCCAAGTACGTCTCCAATTGCAGTACATGTTGAGCATGGATCAAAAATATAAAAGGACACGTCTCTAGTAATAGTACATGCCAGAATGATGTGATGGGCATTACTGCGGTACTGGTACCAGGGTCCACCTTACTTCGTTTTTCTTACCCGTTCATCATCTTTGTGTCTTTGTACACTGATTCTCACCATTGGTTGGGTGTATTTACAGCCTTACAACATCACTGTCACGAGTTGTTTGCCACCCGACTCAGACAATCAATCTTTCCAGATACAATAAAAGTACACGTCTCCAATACTAGTACAGTCTCCTATAGTAGTACAGGTCTGACCACCTTTGAAAAAATAAAAGGACTGTACGTTTATTGGGGAAAATACGGCAAGCGCAACCGGCGAAAATGGGCACAAGCTACAGTCCCACAGGAACAAAGAATGTCGATTGTTCTGGACGATGACGAGATTGTAGGTACTAAGTGTGAAACCTTAGCCACTCGAATTCCTATGGTGACTTGATGTTTGGGCCAGGGTGCAGTGTCTTGAAAGCATTCACGGAGAAAATGATAAATCGTCATCATCAGCAACATGTCGATTTCGTGATCTTTTAAATGTATGCTGAATTTAGTGCACACACACACACACAAACACACACATACACACACACACACACACACACACACACACACACACACAAGCACTCACACACAAGCGTGTGTGCACACATACAAAACACATACACACACACACATCCATCCCCGCATGCATACACATAAACACACATGCGTGAGCACGCACAAACACACACACACACACACACACACACACACACACACACACACACACAAACACACACAAACACGCACACTAAGATGAGTACGCGGCTCAGTGCAGCCACATTGTATTTACATATGTGAACATGTACGCACTTGTAAGTTGTAGGGATTCGAAGTGGGGGATTTCCGGGACTAAACCCCCATGCACAGAGGATGCGTTGCATCACGCTCCAGTTAGCACTCCTGCAGAGCTCTGACCAGTCTGGGACAGCGCCGCATACTCTCTTTCTATTTCTTTGCAACGTTCCCAAACTGCACTCACTCCGTATACAGACTGTGCTGTGGTACCGGGTATCCACTTCAATACTCAGGCACACAACGATGCCACACGATGAGTAACTCATTCATGTTTTAGTGGGGAACATTGATCGTGGTTACATACTCATCCAGTGAGCTTTACACGGACGAGTTACAAATCAACAAACTACTTAGACAAGACACACAAGACACACAAGACACACAAGACATACTAGTAAATGCCTGAGGAATCATAGTAGCACTTCGCCACAGGTTTTCTTTGCAGGGATGATTCCTAATCGCAAATAGTTTGAATTCAACGCACGGCAACAGACTGTCCACGGCTAGTGTAGCGGCTACATCAAGCAAGGCGATGGCGATACTGCTATGATTCCTTGCTTTTCAGCACGACGTACAGAAAAAATGTTTGAAGTGTCTACATTTTTCAATAGGAACCATGTACCACCCGATCGATCAGCAAATAATTCACCTTCATGTCGCAGGCATAACTAATACTAACCTGATAAAGTTTAGGAATGGACCGAGCTAGAAATCGATATGACTGATTTGTTCTAGCAGGCGAGCGCCAGCGTAATAATCTTGTTTAGACGATAGCGAGTATCGCTGGTCTGGCTCAGAAGAGAAGCTCCACACTACATCAGCAGCTCGACGTTACATCAAAGAGAGACTGAGAGAAAATACTGGTCTTCTTTCAAACTAAACTAAACGTTACTTCTCAAGGAAACGCGTTGTCAGTCCGAAAACTGGTGGAGTGGTGCATGCCCACGACTGAACATGACTTTCGTGCATGCTCGAGCTCGCAGCTTTTGTAGTTTTGACTCTTCGTCTTTTTCGAATCCGCCTTGGCGCCTCGAGTTCAGTGGGTGGGTGAGGACTACTCCCCGACAGACTGTTGACGGAACGACCGTCCATCGACCAGCTTTTTGGCGGATTTGGCGTGCACCAGCAAGAGTGCTGACCCTGACAAACAGTGACACGAATGGAATCGTTACAATCATGACTGTACTGAAGTTTAGTACATGATTATTATACAAGTCCTAGTTCAAAACTGGTCCACAGTGGATCCACCTTGTTTCATGCTGTCAATCAGTATCTAACAATATGACTGTACAACAATTACATGCATGATTGTACAATGTAACTCGGGTATTGAGCCAATAATAAAAGTAGAAAGGAAAAGGACATAATTATGGAAACGAGTTAAGAGTAACTCTCCACCACTGTAACTAGATACTATAATTATACAGTCAGAAAGTGCAACAACTAGGCACAAAACTTTGCTGCTTCGAATTGTAGTTAGACCGCTTTGTCAAATCGCCTACTGGTCTCGTCATCGTCCAGTGACAATCGACATTCTTTGTTCCGTTGGGACTGTAGCTTGTGCTCGTTTTCGTTGCGCTTGCCTTCCCCTCTTTGGTCTTTCCATAACCTTGAACCTTCCAAGTTGGAAGGCTGTCGGTTAGCGCTACGGAGATGTGTAGAAGCTAGGTGTCAGGACGTCGAATGTCTCAGTACTCTGTCAGTTTTGTGCCTAGTTGTTGCACTCTACGTTTATGCATGATTGTATAATGTAGTTCTCCTTCTGCAATTTCAAATTTGGACTTCACGGAGAATTTCAAAGTTTAGGAAATTAGAGGCCACATGCCACGTACTGCTCTTGTCTCTCCGAAACTCAATACGTGCAAGCCAGATATGAAATTTTGAAGAAGGGCTGAGGCTTCCTGCAGCTTCATCTGTGAAAAGAATTCGGGTGGACACACCCATTCCCATAGCGCTGCATATCACATCCGAACCAGTTCCGTTATTTTACAACGTTTCGGCACTTGGCCATCATCAGGTAATAACATTGTTATTACCTGATGATGGCCAAGTGCCGAAACGTTGTAAAATAACGGAACTGGTTCGGATGTGATATGCAGCGCTATGGGAATGGGTGTGTCCACCCGAATTCTTTTCCCAGATATGAAAGAAAGAAAAAATCGTCAGTAACACCACCGGGACTCGAACCAGGGACCTTACTATTCGCGAGCAATGCTCTACCCAACTGAGCTACAGTATGACTCTTATCCACAGCGATGGTAAATCTATCCTTCTTCGATCAATCCATAACAGTTATCTGGCTGGCATCATACTGGCAACTCACACCAATCAAGAGGGCCCTCGGCCATTTATTCGCTTGGTATCATGGGGAGCGCATCAAACTATGTCATACTGTAGCTCAGTTGGTTAGAGCATTGCTCGCGAATAGCAAGGTCCCTGTTCGAGTCCCGGTGGTGTGACTGATGATTTTTTCTTTCTTTCATATCTGCCGGGCTTGCAAGTATTGAGTTTCGGAGAGAAAAGAGCAGTACGTGGCATGTGGCCTCTAATTTCCTAAAAAATATTTCTCCTTCTCTTCTCACTTTAACTGTGCAGAGATGGAGACCCCCTCGATAGACATAAACAGCCTCTGTTTTTGAGGACACCTTGAAGTAAATAATTATTCTCCAAATGAACTGATCAGGGAGTAGTACCCAAAGGTTTGGGTGGGACTCCCTGGAGCAGTATTATTATTGGGGGAGTGAAGTGTCATATACATGACTATTGCTTGTATTGCAACAAAGGCAGAAGAGAACAGAGACAGCCGCGGCTAGGTCAGTGTTGTAACGCTCCGTTTCATGCACATAGCAAAGCCAAGGCAATCCTCAAACAACTGACCGGCTGTCTCTGTTCTCTTCTGCCTTTGTGGTCATGCTCCATCCTTGTGGTGTTGAGCACTCTAGGCAATCTGGGAACTCTCGCTATTGTGACTGTATTTTATTGTGTCACTGTGTGTAAGTACAACTACAATGTATGTGACTGTGTATTGCAGGGGTGTCGTGTTGTCACGCTTTCCTCTTGAATAGAATTATCAATACCGGTTTCTTTTCCACTCTCTTTGTGTTGAACTCGATCCTAGACTCTATCATTAGTTTGATGTTCGTTTTTATACATGTACATGTACGTGTATTCATCGATCATCATGCAACAGCGCACATGGTCATGGTACGTGTAGTTTTCGTTGTGTGCAGACAATGTTTGCATAGCTTACTCCACGCTAGGGGTGTGCGTATTATGCTCGAAAAGGTGGCAGATTCTGCTCGAAAAGCAGTTAAATTGGCAGAACCATACGAACCTTTTAAGTTATGGCGGGCAATTCCTCGAATTCTGCTGCATTTCTTTTCCACATACCAAACATGCAGGAAACTTACCAGAAAAAGTACCGAATTCTGCCAATTTTTCTGCCGGCATTATCCGCATATGCCTACTCCACGCATACATGTTCTAACCTTCATCTAAGAAGTACAATACGGTACCGGACCCGGTATACATGTACATACATGTATAGGAATACTGTAACATGTACATGTACTGATGTAGTAGTTACCATTGAAGAAGGTGCCATTAGTACATGTACAGGGAACCTGTCAATGCGACCACTCTGATAACTTGATAAGGCGACCACTTGTCGAACAGGACCACTACAACCAGGACCAAGGGCTGTGATTTCCAGACAAATGACCCTGGATAAGGAGACCACCTGTACACGGGGACCACACTTGAAAGGTCCCTTGAGCAGTCGGCTTGGACAGGTTTCAATGCTACATGATTTTAGTACATGTACCGTATTACGCGCAAAGACCAGAGTCAAGAGGGCTTTTGGTAAACTAGTGCAAGCATCCCTACGTGAGTTTGTTTGATGATATGCACCCACAATAACTACATGTATGTTGCCCGTACAAGAGGTTTTGCTACGCGCAAGTGCTATTAGTACAATTCATGTACTAATATTACCAAGAGTACGGCCATAACCCTCTTGGTATTACGACTGGCGAGTACACACTCCGCGTGTGGAAAACCACACAAGTGTACGTGTCATGATCAATCTGATGGCGGGCGTATAATCTTCTATTCATGACGGACGAAAACAGACACACAAGCACATACGGGGCGGCCCAAACTTTTCCAGATCTAGTTATCGGATGTATAACGGTCCCATTCCATCACTCAGATACCGATTACCATTTTCATGTTTGTTTTTAGTCTGAGCACTTAGCTCTTTGGTCCTCCTTTCTTCTTTTAAACTTAGCATTACATAGTTGCTTATTGGGGTTTCGTCGGCAAATACAGTCATGCACATGTACATGTACATGTATATTGTACATTGTATGTACAATGCAGATCTCTTTCCGATGCTACCGGTAATGCGGAGCTGCAATAACTTACTTGCACGCACACGTATAATGTACATGTACATGTACATATACACGTATACAATAAATGTAAGAGCAAACATCCAGAGCAAGATTATCTTCTACCCCTGGTCCCTCATACATGTATATGTCCAGTACACTTCTAACGACTGCGGATATAACGACAGAATTTCCATACCCAGAGCAAAGTCCCATCTAACTGCAATACCGGAACATAAAAATGAGACTTTGGGTATAAGGACACTTCGCGAATAGGGACACTTTTCTGATGCCTCGCCAAGTGTCGCTATACGCAAAGTTGACTGTACATACGGATGCGGATATGGTGTTATAGTGGATAGGGCCCTCGGGGCACGATAGGCTATTAAAAGTATACATGTACATGTACATGTAACTGGTTAATTTAAGGAGGCTCCCACCTAAAGAAGTAAAAATAAAAGGTCCATGGACACCCTGTTTTTTATGCATAGAATGGTGGAGTGATGTCTCTTCTTCAATTTGGTATAGTTTTTAGGTAGGGTCACCAGGCATATAAGAGGTATTCTGGTGTATTTAGTGAGTGTACAATTTCTTGATTTTCGGCAAAAAAATGGTAAAAAAATTTGCTTTTTGACCCAAAGAAGCCTCCTGGAAGGAGGATACTAAGCATTTTCTTCATCATATGTTTAAGAACCACATTTGGAGGTATCTTGGCTACACAACATAGACTGTGTCTTGGTTTTGCCCTTGGTGAGCCACTTTTTCGAAATTACGGGAACCGAAATTTCCATCGGGTGCTGAATTGTGAAATGGTTCAGCCTGCAACATTTTGTCCATGGACATATTGATTTTTGTGGCTTTCTGTGATCCTTGAGCCCCAAGGAAGCCGATAATGGACAGTTTTGATGGTGTCACCAGGCACTTTAGGCCCCTACCAAACAATATAGGTATCGAAATATGGTATTTTTAGGCCAATTCTGAAAATAGCATTTTTAGAAAATCTGATCATTCTTGCCTTCTTGACTAAATATCACTACCAATGACATGGTAGTATGGTAATATTATTTTAGAAGAAGTTATTTTCATGCTGCAACCTCCTTTGGACATACCAGACAGGCTGTGCTCGGAAAGGTACATGTATCATTACATGTATGTCATGTAGCCTTCAGGCCTAGCACATTGATATACGAGTAGTGTACATGTACATGTAAGGCAGCGAGGTTTCATAACAACCTCGATCATGAAACTGGCACATGAATAATGTGAAAGCAGGCATTCAAAATAAGGCACACTAAACACTCACACGCGTGCGCACGCACATAAACACCCACCCACATGCACGCACTCTCGTGCACGCATCATTGTAACACTACTAGTCCATAGTAGGACTTAGTGTAAATAAAAGCTTGAAGACCAGCCACTGCACTGGGCATGCATTTGCTGGTTGTCACTTGCGTTGATAGCAGCAGACTCCAGAAAAACATCGCATGAAGGGCATGCATCTACACACGCTGGCGTGCACACATATGATATACATGTACATGTAGTGTACTGTCATGTCATGCTCTCTCGGCAATTCTTTTTGTGTCTCAAATACGGTTCACAAATGCACATTCACATGCAACTCCTGTACTGTAAAGCCATTACCACACTGTCCTTGCGGACACCAGAGAGGAGAGGCATACAGAACCAGCACCGTGAGCCCCTCCCCCCCCCCCCCTTCCACACCTAGCTTTGCACACGCGCGCACACATGCACGTGCATACACACATACATGTACACAGACATTTGCATGCACATGCACACAGTGCACTCGTGGGGACATGTGCATAACCCAGGTCAACATTGCACGCGAACCCACACATGCGGGCACGAGCACGCGCGCACACACACACGCGCGTACACACAAACTCATACACTTGCCCAACGCTGAAGCGAGGACAGCGAACAAACTACGTTGGACATAGCAACTTGTGCTCGGATTACACCTTTCAACAGCTTGCACACACACACACACACACGCGCATGCGCGCGCGTACACACACACACACTCGTGCGCGCGCGCGTACACACACACACGCGCGCGCGCGCGCGTACACACACACAAACGCATGTACTTGCGCATAGGAAAGGATTCAAAATAATCAACCACAGGCATTTACCCAATACACACCTGAGTGTGCACATCTTAGTTGTGGCATCCCCATTTTTACAAAAGCAGGATTTAGAAGTTCGTCCCTGGTTCAGAACACAAGCTTCTGGCCAGCGTTTTCCTTACACCATCAGTGCAGTACAGTGGTTGACACGACCTCATTCCTACAGGGACAGTAGCCCAAGTTCAGCAGCTCTGAGATGCGTCGTCCACTGAGCTCAGGATACTCTAGGATCCACAGAAAGTTTCAAACGGTACTCGTGCGACTGGAGCTGCAAGTGGGTCCACTTACCAGCGAGTGGGCAGCCACTTCACGCTCCACAGGTAGTCCATGCTAAATTCCAGTACCAGTACTAGTATCACTACGTTCAACATCGATGTCTTCACTGACTTCAGCCTGCTTTTCTCACCCTTCTTCGTCAGTAATATAATTTGTTCTTCGTGGCCACATCGTTCCGCTTCAACAAAGTTTTCAGAAAAAAATCAAGCAGCGTAGGAACTGCCTTTGTTTTGCATTAGCCATGGCCAGTGATCCTTTCCAGCGTAGAAACAACCACGGCTACAGAAACACTGCAACGAGTAGAACTACATCCTGGAACAACTGCGAGCACCGAGAAATCAAAAAACTTCTTTCTGAACAACACTCAACAGCTTGTTTCCGCATGGAACACAACATTTTTTGAATCTCGCGGTGATTTCACCCTGCAGTTGCCAGTACAGTATACGGTATCGCTCAGACCTTTGCCATGTCTGTCTCACAACGTACAGTGCTAGCAACTGAAATCCGACCCCCTTGCCGGCGCGCCACGCCGGCAAGGGGGTCGGATTTCAGTTGCTAGCATTGTACTTCGTGGCTGGGTAGATGGTGTAACTATTGCTGCGCCAAACCCAGAGATAAGTTTGGCTTGGTTGGCTACTGCTTTGGCTCGTAGTTGATTGCCGCAATTGTACAACGGTCAACCAAACCCTTGCTAAGTATGTAGTGCACAGACTCCTGTCCACAGCCAAACTACTACTGGACAAGAACGATCAGATCAACTGCTGGAAAGTGACAGGCATGCCTATACTAGGATAAGAGTGTGTTGCTCCCTACATGGGAGCTCTGGGTTTTCCTGGCGACTTAATTTCTCACTTGACAGACTCACGACTGCCATCCAGAGCACACGAGAAGTCCATCGAACCGTCCACTCGGCAAACCTGCAAGAAAGCATCACTCCCTGCTCAATACACAGTGCTAGGATACTACCGGTAATGCTAATACACATGTACATGTACTAGGTGGAGCCTACTGCAAGTGCCAAGTGTCCATCACGTCCGTGTATACAATGTATTGTGGATGTATGTAATTCTCGTTACACACACTTGAGAGGAATCAAAAACGTTTCTGCTGTAACTTTCTCCTGGAACTCTGAGCTGCACGGTTCATCAGACAGCAACTTGATTATTATAATAACATGTACATGTACTACGAGATCTTCGCTCTTGCAAACCTATGCTTTGCGGGAGAGGGGGGGGGGGGGGAGAGATTGGTTAGGAACACTGGAGCCTGGATATAGCGCTGCCAGGTCATATCCAACGAGAGGCAATATCCCTGAATGCCATCGTACAGTATAGTCATGCACATGATCGTGTAATGCGAGGAGATTTTCTCTATTGCGGGGGGGGGGGGAGTGAGAGCGAGAGAGAGAGATTGGTTCGGAGTGCAGGAGCTTGGATAGCGCTGCCGGGTCCTACGCAACCAGAGGCAATACGTCTGAATACCAACCTAAAACAACTGTTGCCAATTATTTAGACTATGGTAGCCTTGCACTCTTGTATAACTATTGATTGGCTGGAATTAGTTCTGTCGGAGTCAATGTGCACAAAAATGTCCGTGCCGTCCGCTTTCTGGCCTGAGGTGGTGCGAAGTGAGATTGCGCTTCGTCAGTCCGGCTCACTTTATGAGTGGCTTTCATTAATGTTCGATTTCAAGTGTTTTCTAGGGCTTGTGTGCTGCTAGCACAGCCGTCAATGGCGTCATCCTCTCAGCAATGACCTCCGTAACAGTGCGGTGTCTGTAGTATCTGGCCTGAGCCCTGCATGCAATGACTCCCGCACTGTCAGTACCGAGTCTGCAGTCTCTGCTCGCAGAGTTGTGGAGTGTCCGCCAGAGTTCTCGCATAGTCATTATTTGCATTTCAGCATTGCAGTTTGACGTGGTTGGGACCAAACCGATGCGAGGTCTTCCTAATGCCCTTAAACAGATAAAGAGCCAATCTTACTCCGAAGCCGGCCATGTTTGAAGCGGTGATAATAAAACACGATCGCACAGACGTAGAGCTATCCCATGGAATACGCGCTGACCATAATGTATTGTAGGCTGGCTGATCAATTGCAATCAACTGCACTGTATGTATTGCCACACGATCGCACAGGCGTAGAACTACATTGTACAAATTACAAACCCATGGATAACACTGCACGGGCTGGACGTAAAGCAGGCTGGCTGATCTATTGCAATCAACTGCGCTGCATACATGTACATTTTTATGGATTGCCGAGTTGCGTGGCCATTTCTAGCGGCCTCCCTCCGGCTGGCGGCTCCAACCAGGGAGTAGTAATACTCCTTGGCTCCAACTACATATAAACGATAACGAGGGAATGTGATTATAACATGGGTTTCGCTGCACAGATCAAGATCAGACATTGCTCAATCATCTTGTGGGAAGGAACTGATTTCTATCTCAAGACGATTGCCGGCTCGTTTAGTTGAGTTGTCAAGTTTGATTCTCTTCTATTTTCCTGTCTTTCGAAGTAACATCAGGATGAATGTTCTAATGTGGCAAGTGACGCTCTCGACCGTACTCACAAGTATCTTGATCATCACGGCGCTGAAAGCCGACACCGGAGACCATGCGGCCGTCGTCAGTGGAGTTCACGGCTTCTGTTGCGCTCTGTGGCTGGGAACGGCGGCTTGGGGAGCCATTTTCCAAGGTACGTTAATAGCCATGAAGTTCTAAGTAATTAGTTCGTACTAAGTTAACGCTGTCTGCATTCTCAATATTGAAGAATACAGTCATGTGAATGTACAGTCGTGTACATGTACATGTAGATCTACCCATATTTCTAGTCATCACCCACTTGATTTCTGTATCAGTGCCCCCATGTCGTTATCGATATCAGCAAGAGTCCATACATGTAACCCCCAGGGGTTATGTACTCTTGATACCGGGCTTGGTTAAAGGTTGAGGTCATAACGAGGTCACAAGTTTCACGCAAAACTACCCGCACTGAGGTTTCCTATTATGGCCTAGGGAGTTAGGGTAACAGCGACCGCAGAAAATACTTGTACCCATGGCCATGTACTTGTAGCCTTTCCCTGTGCTGCGCTGACCAGTTCACATAATAAAGACGAAACAGGTCTGTCAACACATTGAGTAAGCAACAAGCGGTCACTGAGGTACTTGAAGTACAGTAAAACCTGCCAAGGCGACCGCTCGGATAAGGCGACCACCTGTCCTAGAAGACCACTGAAACCAGGACTAAGGGATGCTATTTCCAGTCAAATGACCCTGGATAAGGCGACCACCTGGTAACAGAGATCACGTTTTGAAGGTCCCTTGAGCGGTCGTCTTAGACAGGTTTCACTGTACAATGTACAATCATGTACATGTATACGACCGCTTTTGCTTGCACCGTGGGGTGGTCGCTTAAACCAGGTTTTACTGTACAGTCATGTACATGTATACCCGGTACATGTTACTTCGAGTGGACTTGCCCAGTTGCTGGCGGTTGTAAGGCAATAGTTTTGAAATTGTGTGAGTTTGGCCATGTTGGTTGTTCGGATTCCTAAATGAATGGAAAAGAGAGGATCAAGAAGAAGAATGAAGGAGTGATACTGAGAAGAAAGACAAACTGCAGGCTCTTGAACAATATCTCGAAAGTTTTCACCAGTATACATTCATGCCTTGCTATCAAGTGAAATACAGGCAAACTCAAATGAACAACTATGAATGATAAAAAGGAGAAGGACAAAATGTTACGAGTTATGACTAACTGTATGACTAACGTGGTTAATTAAATTGGCTCACCATCCGAGTTCAAGAATGAATAAAGGACGATAATAATTACAATGTACATGTACATGTACATGAGACATTATCAGTTTGACTACTACCAACAGTACATAACCCCCGTGGGGTATGTACTCTTGGTACTACTGATTAGTACTGAAGTATTATGCTGACGATTAAGAGCCACCGCTTTAGGAGCTGCATCTGCGCCTTGACCCTTGAAGGGTGATAGCGTTCCTACGGATGCGGAAAACTCGGCCTCTAGCGGAGTCTGACGCGAACCGTGAATTTCTTTTAAGAGTCGAGAAGCCATCTCCAAAGTCCAAACTTACTTCATCATTGCTGTGTGCCACACCCCATGAGTGCGCGCTACAAGGTACAAGGAAAATGCATGCTCTTTGAACCGACTCTCCACTTGTTGAAGGCTTGTTGCTGTCAAAATACTACTCCGCAGAACAACAAGTTCTCAAAGGGTGTAACCACTGAGACTGTGAGAGGTACTTCTGACATAATAATTATATACCATGCGAGGGGTATAGCAGTAACACACAAGCCACATGAAGACCAAGTGATTGACTGTCTCTCGAAATCTGCTCTTCATCTAGATCATAAGCACTGAACTTCAACACAACCTTTTTTTCACTAAAGATACAAAAGAAAAATGACCCAACTCAAGAACTAACTGTTACTTGATCACGCTGGCTCCTGTTCCAGTGGTATGCACTTCACATCTCGACATGGTTTCTGAAGAGGTACATGTACGTAACACAAGTGTTACAAGGCCGTGGTGCTCAACTCCTCCCCGCTTGAAGACTACTTTATCCAAATCACTCCCATGCAGACTAATGCATTCCATTCGGTTGTTAACCTCAGAGTCTTTTGATCTGGTTTTCATACGTTCAATTGCTCCCACTACTGAACGTCAGTTTCGCTACACTTGAGGAAACGAACATTTCTTTTCAAGAAAACTCCCTTACTTTATGGGATATATTGGACATGCCATGTTCATGTTTACGATTTTTGACGCGAAATTTGGTTTTGTCTCAGGTGTGATGATGCTGCAGCTTCTGCCCCGTCATGACTTTGGTAATCTTCAGTCACGTGTGATCCCAGCCATGTTTCAGTTTGGCAACCTTTGTATGGGCTTGGCGGTACTGACGTTCCTGCATCAGCATCCATTGACGTCATTGAGCGGGCAAGATTTCAAGCAGGTATGCAAAGACAGCCTCCCTAGAATGTGTGTGTGCGTGCGTGCGCGTGTCCATGCGCTCTCTTTAATAGTAGGTTATTTTAACTGCATGGCGTTTGGAGTGGAACTAATTGGTTATCCGAATTCCAAAAAGCAAACATTACACCAGACATAAGGTCTGATGCCTTGTCAGCCATAATCACGTTGGAGATGATTTCAGTAAATTATTTTCTACTTCCCCTACATGTACAATGCTATAGCTGTTCGTGATGACTATCAGTCTTCTCAGCTCCATGATCAACAATGTGTGGTTTCTGCCGGAGGGCACACGCATCATGCACGTATGTCACAAGATTGAGAGAGACGTGGGCGAGGGACGGGCTATACGCTATCTGGATATGAAGAAATTCGAGGTGAGATTCATCATTGGCTTAATTTCTGAGTTCTCACTCCCGTTTACTCTCCCCCTCATGGTGCTCACAGCAGGACGTGTGCTTGCAGAGCATAGGAAAAAAGGACATCAGTTCGATACTTTCCATGGGCTCGAGAGCATGTCCTCCCAGCACTATTCTCTCTCAACCCCCCTGTCCCTGTTATGCCGATGTCGAATAGGTCCTGGAGTAGCCGTTCATGACGAACCTTGTCGAATGCCTTTGACATATCTAGAAGGCATATGCCAGTACACAAACGCTTGTCCCGTGCAATAATAATACGATTTAGCATAAGTACCAGGCCCCCCCCCCCCCCCGCCTCCCCAGCCCTTAGCAGATAGCGGTCGAAAAGCAGTGAAATTGGCAGAACCATACAGACCTTATTGCAGGCACTTCCTTGAAATCTGCTCCATTTCTTTATCCATACACGCATGCACTTTTACCGGAACATGCATGACCCATATCAGAAAGGTGCTAAATTCTGCCAATTGTCCTGCCCGCATCATCCGCCTAGGGTTACACCCCCCCCCCCCCCCACACACACACACATGCACGTCTCTTTCACTCAGGGTTTGTGTTCCACGCAACGCGGCCCCTGAGTAGTGGGCAGTAGCCTTTTTGACCGTACTTCGAAATATTGACTCATTCAAAGAAAATATTTGACTTAGAACGTGGGACATTTTTGTCAGATTTCTTGGAAACAAGTGCGGTGCTTGTATCATGTAAACCAAGAAGTAAACCAAGCGCATTCCTAACTTTTGAAAGGATTGGGAGAACTTCAAATTCAAGTCCTGGTGGGTCTGGAGTTTTTTTCCTCTTTTCAGGCAGTTCACTTCCCCCGAATGATCCTTTGAAGATTCCTAACTCATAATAATTATTATGTTGTCTTGTGTTGTACCATCACCACCACCACCACTGTGCAGGGTGATCACAAATACCACATGCTGCGCAAACAGTTCGCCTTCCACCACAGCGGAACGCAGCTGTCTGGGATCATATCGTGCGCTTGCGTGGCCTATCGAGTGGCCTACCTGTGCAGTCGCTCTGCTATCTGACATCCCAGCCCTACCACTAGTACCCCGATACCACCTACTAGGAGAATTCCATGAGCAATGCCGATAGGAACTGGATAGCATAGAGAGCCCCACGATATTGCTGCAAGATGTGTCTTATTGCTGCTCCGGCTTCTACACCCACAGTCAAGTGATATTATTATTAGTGTTATGTAGCAGCTGGTGTCACTGCACTAATCCTCACCGGTCTCTAGAAGTTGCTTCTGTACATGTACGTCCCAGTTCTCGGTGATGACTAGACGCATGTCCTAGCTGTTGGTCTGATAGTGTCGGCAAGAAAAGAGAGCATAGTCTACAAGTACCGTTCTGGAAAGTTTCGTGTATGTTCGGTATGGACAGAGAAGAAGAGCAGAATTCGACGAATTGCCACTCCCCCGAACTTTGTATGGTTTGGTCGATTAATCCACTGCTTTCAAGCTTATAGTTTGGCCGATTATCAATTTTCTCGCCTAGAGCTAGCATGTCCTGAGTCGACTCAGTTGTGGCTCAATGGTTCACTTAGCAATCACGTGATATGTTTTTGCTTTGCTACCATTAGTGGTGTGTACTTCAACGCGTTATGAATTATCAAGAGAAAAAATACCCCCCCCCCCCCGAGTGTGGGGTCCATTGCCTTTGGTTTTATCATGTGATTCTGCAACGATTCCAGAGGAACAATTTGTTAAACTCGGATGGAGAGCCAAGGAATAAAATCAGAAAATGGAGAGGACCATAGGCATCAGGTTGTTGAACGTCAGTATCACACCAGTCAGTTTTGTGCTAATTGTAGCACATTTTGACTCAACAGAATTCTGCTTATAGCTGTTAGTGTATAGCTGTTAGTGGTGCGACGTTAAATAAACTTCTACAACAACAACAACAGTGTTGGACAAAACGGGTAACTTGTAAACTTATGGTCTTCTTTTTATACACAACAGAATCATCAGGCCTGATGACTGCGTGATTGCGTGAGCATGAAACTTGAAGTAGCAGCAAACAAGCCTTGATTGTCCTCGTTGTTCTGTTGTGTATTACGCTCTGCCTTTGTGGTGTTGAGCACTGTGAGCACTCTGGGTACATCCTTCGGTCTTCTTTTTTTAAAACTATTTGTTACTGCTTGTTTGACAGTGTAGAGATGGCCGTACCAGTAAACTGAACGTGAGATTGGCACAATGCCTTTGCATGAGGGTTTTAATTTTTTTAATTTTTCTACTACCGGTATGTTCATAGTTATACCAAGAGTAGTAGTAGCACATGTAACGTTAGTACTTAGTAGTACTTCGAAGTACATGTACAGTGCTGGCAACTGAAATCCGACCCCCTTGGCGGCGCGCCGCGCCGCCAAGGGGGTCGGATTTCAGTTGCCAGCACTGTAGTAGTACCGGTAGTAGTATTTATTATTAATTTTGACTAGGGGAGTCCCAACAGGCATGGCCTTGTTACAGGGAACCTTAGGTGAATCTTTGTGAGGTGAGCTGAGGTACATTTCTCCCAGCCGCTTCAATATGAACTACCGCCCAATATCCCTCCTCCCCTGTATAGCAAAACTCTTTGAAAAAATAGTAGCGAAACAACTCCAGGCTTACCTAACAATAAAACAGAAGATATGCAGTCAACAATACGCGTACGTGAAGGAGAAGTCTGCGACAGACCAGCTTATTATACTTATCCAGCAAATGGCCGACTACATTGATGAGCGTCTGAACTTCGACCTGGTCTCCCTAGATTTCTGCAAGGCATTTGACAGAGTAAGCCACTCAACTCTCCTCCGTCAAGTCAGCAACTTCTCGGACCATAAAGTCACTGCCTGGACTAAGAGTTATTTGCAGGATCGAAGCATAGCCGTGAAGATCGAGTCATGCATGTCAGTGCCCAAAGTCACCAACTGTGGTGTTCCCCAGGGATCGCATCTGTCTCCTCTACTGTTCGTGATCTACATTAATGACCTACCAGAAGCCATACATCATTCGCACACCTTCTTGTTTGCAGATGATGTCACTCTACTTTTGCCGTACAAAGGCTCTCTGTCAAGTCCTGGTATCCAAGCGGACATTCATGCATGTCAAAACTGGGCCAGGGAAAGAGGCGGAGAGTTTTCGCCCTCAAAAACTTCTGTTTTAAGCTTCCGTTATAAGCCAGTGGCAGCATCATCACCAGCACCAACATCTGCCACCTACACTATGGAGGGTCTACCTCTTCCCAGTATTGACATCCTCAAACATCTGGGAGTTCGCTTCAGTGCAGACCTAAACTTCCGTCAACACTACCTTGACATCAGTCGCAAATTCAAGCAGAGAGTAAGCCTACTTTGTCACATGGCACATCGTCTTACACCGCAGGCCATGATGCTCCTCTACAAGTGCTATGTTAGACCTGTGATTGAGTATAGCGTCGTAGTGTGGTCCTTTCGTCTTCGTTCAAGCGACTTGACTGAGCTGGATAGAGTCCAGGCCAGGTTTCCAAGATCCTACCTTAGGAAACGCAAAATCCAAATCGACTTTAATACACCCAAGCAGGATCTTAATAAAAAAGCTAACATTGAATCCCTTCTTTACCGCAGGCAGTTTTTAAGCTTGGTTACCATGCACAAATTTATTTTCAAGTATCGACGTTGCCTAGCTTCATTCCATTTCAATATCACGCAGAGTGCGAGACGCCCTAACAAAATTATTCTCCCTAAAGCAAAGACCACATCAAAATCGTTGTTTCTCTTCCAAACCTCCCTCTTATGGAACTGCCTCCCACCAAGACTAACTGCAGAACCATCCATTATTGTTTTCAAGAATGAGCTTCGCAAACTCACTTGCAAACATAGTGCTTCGCTCTCCGGTATGCCTACGCCATGTACATAACCCCCCCCCCCCCCCGTGTGCTCCCCAACGCATTCACGCTGCACAACTTTTCACTACTTTCACTTTAGCTCATACGTGTACATGTACATCCTTCAAAGCGGTGAACCCCTTGATAGGCGACAAGCCTCTAGGTCATCCTAATAAAGATATTATTATTATTATTATTATATTGATTTTGCTTGTGGTGCGGGTTGTCCCCAAAGTATGACATAAAATTGTGACAATAATAAACGCAAAATGGTCTGCCCAACAATCCTGTAACTGCTACACATGTACACAACGTGCCGCCTGAATGTGCTTTCTTCTGTCGGTCTGGAAAGAAGTGTAGGTTTGGAAAGAGAGCATGAACTCATGAGTTATGGTGGGTTGCCAACTTGCCACTATAGTGTTGTCCTCGTGGGTTGGAATGTTGACATTGTACATGCAGTATTAGAGATCAGGAAGAAGCAGGAAGAGGCAGGGAGGCAGAACGAGACCATACACAATTAGCACCCCGGGATGCCGTACCTCTCTCTCTCTCTCTCTCTCTCTCTCTCTGCCAACCATATATATTGTTACTCTCCCAAACATACACCGTCCACCCCAGGATTTGGAAATGCCCGTAGCATGTAGAGTCTACAATCACGTAGATCTACCGGTAGATCTACCTACCTACATAGTAGATCTACATGTACATAGTAGATGTACATGTAGAATCTACCGCATCTTCGGCCAATACAAGACGACACAGTGATTATTGTCATGTTGATCGTTTTTACTCGTAGATCATTGGTAATATTATTATTTTAGGACTCACTGCATGCGCTTGCAGTCTTGGACACGCAGCGCCAGCGGCATTGCAGTACGCGTGGACGGACAGGTAGTCTACGTGCGTGCGGCGCGTGCTCCTTCTCGATATCACTGCTCTGCATCTGATCTAGTTTGCACGGGTTCACCGGTCCGCGAACTCTTGACCCGACTCGTCATGACAACGGACGATTATCCAAGCTCGAGCGCTCAAGCTTCGAAAGCCTGCCGCACGTGCTCGAGTTTTGCCATGACATGAGAATGCCTGTCTCCCTCCATTTTAGTTTCGTAGATAGTTTGGCGAGACCCCACCCTACCTTTTCGAGGTATTGATTCCTCCATCCAGCTAGTGTGCTTCGGCCTCATGATCACTGCATGGGTTGTTGTTGTTGGCCCGGGCTCCCTTTCTATAATTATCACCCTGGCAATCAGCTCTACGATTTTTTGCGGTATTTCCCATAGGAGAAAGCACATCAACGGGGCAGAGTGTCCGTAGTACTAGTAGCGAGGCCCACGGAGTTTAGTCTTTGCCATTCCTTTAGGGCTACAGCTTCTTTGCCAATACTATAGGACCACCTATATACTAATTATGTAGGTCCCATTTCCATTTCCATCAAGTCCGTGTTGCGCTCTACTTCCTGATGCTTCAGTGCTAATCTCCGAGCTAGCCTGCATCGTGACCTTCGCTGACATCCCTGGAATCTGCTGTGGTAACAGGTCGCATACACGGATACAGGTGGTAAGTCGTTCATTGCTTGCTTCATTTGTATCGTAGATAAAGACGGATCGAGCATATAAAAACGCGCGCGGGGGGGGAGGGGAGGGGGCATTGACACCACTGGGGGGGGGGGGGCATTGACACCACGGGGGGGGGGGTGGGCATTGACACCCTTGGGGGGGGGGGGAGGGGGTGGCATCGATGCACAAAAGAATACTCTCAACAGTCAGTTGGGAATTCATCATCTGTATTGTCATGATGAACATGGGCCGATAGTGTCAAAGCTACACTGCTGCTCAATGGAATCCTATCATGTGAGTCAAGCCTTCCTCCTGCACCCAGGCCACATCCCTGCACCCAGGCCACATTCCTGCACCCAGGCCACATCCCTGCACCCAGGCCACATCCCTGCACCCAGGCCACACCCTGCACCTAGGTCACATCCCTGCACCCAGGTCACATCCTTGCATCCAGGCCACATCCCTGCACCAGGCCACACCCTGCACCCAGGTCACATCCCTACACCCAGGTCACATCCCTGCTTCCAGGCCACATCCCTGCACCAGGCCACATCCCTGCACCCAGGTCACATCCCTGCACCCAGGCCACACCCTGCACCCAGGTCACATCCCTACACCCAGGTCACACCCCTCCATCCAGGCCACATCCCTGCACCCAGGTCACATCCCTGCACCCAGGTCACATCCCTGCAGCCAGGTCACATCCCTGCACCCAGGTCACATCCCTGCACTCAGGTCACATCCCTGCACCCAGGTCACATCCCTGCACCCAGGTCACATCCCTGCACCCAGGCCACATCCCTGCACCCAGGCCACATCCCTGCACCCAGGCCACATCCCTGCACCCAGGCCACATCCCTGCACCCAGGCCACATCCCTGCACCCAGGCCACATCCCTGCACCCAGGTCATATCCCTGCACCCAGGTCACATCCCTGCACCCAGGTCAGATCACATGCCAGTTCGCGAGTCGGTGGCCGTACAAGCCCTAGTAGCACGTACTTTAATTAACATCGGATTTCACTCAGTAGTACTGCACTCTTGCGGATTCGGATTAGCAGACAGGACGTCAGACATGGCTTCGAGGTGGAGCAACACAGGCTGCCATCCAGGAGATCCGCGCGCCCAAGGACGCTGTTTCCAAGAGGTCGGGCTGGGATCTTCTTATAGTTGAGTAACCTGGCTGTAATATTAACTTGCGGAGAAATTTCGGAAATATAGCGGAAAAAGTTGCAAGGTTAAATGCCACAAATTCCGGGGAATATTGCGGATTTTGTCAGAAATTGCGGGAACATTGTGGTAAAAGTGCGGAAATTGGGACCGATTTTGGTGCTTGTAGTACATAATTGTACACTGTACGAGTCGTACAGTATAAATCATGCATGACAAACCAGAACGTGTGCTTCGCTGAGGACAAGTGAGTACTACAACTTGTACGAGCACTCGATTGTGTCTGTGTTCAACTGTCTGACAGG